AAAAAAAAAAAAAAAAAAAAAACAAAGGGGATTTGAGGTCCAAAAACAAAAATTACTCGTTTTATCGGGTAAAATTTTGGGGGTTTTTAATTTTTATTTTATTGTATTCATTCACGTATATTTATATAAACTACTACTTATTTTATTTACTTGTCCACTCCCATATTTTGATGGAACCATCGTAGCTTGTGGAGATTAATTGATTATTCCTAACAAATAGTGATCGAATGCCAAGTGAAGATGCCTTTTGCTGGGTATGGACGCAGTCCAAGCTGTCCAAATCCCACACCTTGATCGAATTGTCCTCACTGCCAGAGTACATCAGACGGTCGTTGCTGATGTGACAAGTGTACACGCTGCTCCAGTGACCCTTGAGCGTCTCGACGCAATGGAAGTCGGTTAGATCCCAGATCTTGATGACGTTGTCCTTGGACGTGGAGAACAGGTGGCCGCCGTACACCTGGAGACTGAGCACCCAGTCCTCGTGGCCCTGCATTGTGAACAGACACGTGTAGGTCTCGGTGTCCCACACGTAGATCATCTGGTCGTTGCCTCCACTGAATAGGTAGCGTCCGGCCAGCGCCAGACACTTGATATACTTGGTGTGTCCTTCCAGTGACTTGATCTCGCGGAATGTAGCCAGGTCCCAAACCTTGATCGTCTTGTCGTAGCTACAGCTGAACAAGTGTCTCTGGTTAGCCCTGATGCAGCTGACCTCGCCCGAGTGTCCGTTCAGGGTCTCAACTGGTCGCGATGGGTTCTTGAGTGAGTGGACCTTGATGGTTTGATCGGGTGACGATGTGAAAATGTACTGATCATTGGAGTGGATCGATGAGATGACCTTGCGGTGTGCATTGATCGTGTGTAGACAGCTCCAGTTGTTCTCATTGTCAAACACTCGCAGCACTCCATCGCCATAGCCCACACACAGGTACCTGTCAGTGTCGTGCATGTGTGAACTGTTGATCACCTCTCTGAACGACTGCAACGTGTTGATACACTTGAGCTCCTTTCGCGACATGTCCAGCTTGGCCAGCTGGTTGGCGCCGATCTTGCTGTGTGACTTGTATGGCGAGGCGGCCATCAGCTCCTCGACAATGTCGGGCATGACCATCGTGCCTCGCAGTTGATTCTTGGCGCTGGACGATGTGGATCCTCCCAGCTTGACGTCCAGTCCGAGCAGCGCGCACACGGCATTGCACTTGTGCGTAGTGATGAACTTGTTGATGCCGGTCTTGCCCAGGTTGCCCAGGCCAAAGCCCTTGCCGTCACTGGTGTGTATCTGTGGGTCGGTGTAGACATCGTCCACACCCTGGATGTCGATGATGATCATCTGCTTCTCGGAGCGCTCGTAGGTGAAGTGAGAGAAGGCCTGTGGCGTGGAGCGGTTGTTGAGCACGGCGCCATAGTTGGAGTTGTTCTTCTTGAACTCACCCACCAGCAGTGGCTCGATAGAGCACAGCACTGGGCCATTGCGATCGGTCAACTCCACCACCCATGACATGAGGAACTCGATCTTCTTGGGCGGGTTCTTCTGGTTGAATCTGTGGCCCCAGTCTCTGCACACGAGCTGCATGCGGCACTCGTCAAAGTAGAGCTCACGGCGTGTCTGTTGTTCGGCCTCCTTCTTGTAGAGCTTCAGCACGAACTTTGTGCCGGCACTTAGTTGCATGGCCGCCTCGCTCTGTGTGGACGTCGAGATCGAGTCCAACGTTGGGAATGAATGATTGGCGGCCAGAGGTGGTATATCGTTGGAGAACACTCCCATCGACATAGTATGGTAGGCCTGGCGCAGTGCGCCCTCTGCGAAATACTTCTTCTCAACCTTTAACTGTGATTGATTGTGAGTTAGTGAGTGAGCACGTGATTGATTGTGATTGGATTGATCATTGCGCTTACCTTGATGGCCAGACGAATCCACTTCTCGGTCATCGGATCATACTCCCAGAGTACGCCTGTCTCGCTCTCACCATTGGTGAGGTCCATGGATTGAGGACGTGCGACGCTCGAGGTCGATGATGAGGAATTAGCACCAGCAACGGATGGTGACTGCTGTGGACGATCGGTTGAGACCGCTGCTGACTGCTGCAGAGGCGATTGCAGTGATGCTGACGATCGCTTGGACAGCTGTGGCGAGAACCTTGAGTTGGACGGCGATGACACACCCTCCTCGCGCAACAATCTCTCTACTTGCTCATTGCCGTCGGCAATGTCCTTCTCCAACTTCTTCTGGCTGGCCTCGAGACGCGCCAGCATGTCCTGCATCCTCAGTCGCTCATGCTCGCGCTCACGCTCCTTGTCCAACACCTCGCTGTGTCTCTGTACGGTGGCCTGCACTACCTGGATATGTGCAACGTCCTTCTTGATGTCGTCTTCGAGCTGCTTGAGCTTGCTGCCTAGTTGCTTGTCGAGCTGGGCCTGCTTGTCGACCAACTCGGTGTGGTGTGTCTTGAACTTGCGCTGAAGCTCGGTCAGCTCACCCTTGGTGTCCTTCACATCGTTCTGCACGGCCGCCTCGCTCTTGGCCAGGCGATCATTGAACTGTTGCTCTATCTTCTTGATCTCGTCCAATACCTCGGTCTTGTTGAACTGGCTGACATTGTTGTTGGGCGAGGCGGATGTTATGGGCAGGGACACGGAAGAGCGGGAGGGCGTTGCCGAGAGGTTTCCACTACTGCTGCCACCCTCCAGCTTTACCTTGCGAAGGTCGGCCGTGAGCTCGCCACACTGGTGCTCGAGCGTCTTCACTCTGTCCATGACGGCGCCAATCTTGGAGTCGACGGCCACCTGGCTATGGTCCATTCTCTTCTTCTCCTTCTCCTCGATCCTCTTAACAATGGTCGACTCAATGCCCTCGGAGCGCTGTGCCAGCGTCTCCTCGATCGTGACCATCATCACCTTGCTCTCGACCTTGGACGCCATGTCCAGCTCGACCTTGTCGACGCGGGCGCTCGCTTTCTCCACCTTGCGCTCAAGCTTTGACGCCGAATCGTCGGTCAACTCGGCCATCTCCTTCTTGATCGTCTGGTGCAGGGAGGCCAGCTGGGCCTCCATGTGCTGTCTGAGCGCGGCGTCCGTCGACGACGACTCATCGGACGACTGCAGTTGCTGTCTGTTGGCAATCTGGTGCGTGACCAGTCGCTTGGCCAGCTGCTGCTGCTGGCTCTCCACGCGCTTGATGCCCTCGTCCAGCTTGACCTGCATCTGCGTGCCGAACGTGTCCATGTGGTTCTTGACGACCTTCATCGTGCGGTCCATCTGGTCCTCCATCTGCTGCGTGAAGTGGGCCATCAGCTGCGTGTGCAGGTCGAACTGGTGGTCAAACTTCTCGACCACCAGCTGCAAGTGCATCTGTGAGTCGTCGCGGATGTGGTTCTCATACTCGTTGCGCGTGTTCAAGTAGCCTGGACAGCCAAACTTCTTGTACGGGCATTGACGGGGGGCGAACCCTGGCGAGCCTGGTGGTTGTCCCGCCACATTGTGTTGCTGTTGTTGTTGTTGTTGTTGGGGAGTCGCAGGAGTACCCAATGTACTACTCTTTTTCTTTGTCAAGAATGACATTGAATCCTCGCCTGCAGGTAGTCTATATACACGTTGAATATAATCTGGATTATCAAGGTTGTTATACTTCTGATCAATGTGTTCTTCCTCCTCTTGTACTTCTTGTTCTTGTACTTGTGTTTGTACTTGATCGACTTCCTTCTCCTTCTCCTTCTCCTTCTCCTTCTCCTTCTCTTGTTGTTGTTGAGTTTGAGTTTGAGGTTGGGGCTGTGATTGTAGTTGACGTCTAAGTTGATAGTATTTGAATAATAGTATTACAACAATTGAAAGTAGTATAGAGTATATAATATTACTAGTCATGTATGTGTAAGGTAATGATAATGATAAAAGGAAGGACTAGTTCCCAAAGGCAAAGGTATGAGTTGGATTGATTGATTGATTGATGAGATGCGATGCGATGAGGTGCGATGCGAATACGATTCGATGATTATTAGATGATCTGATCGAGGTTGTTGCTGCAGTTGTTTGTTAGTTTGTTCGAAGGATAAGTCAGTCTTGCTTTGTTGTTAGGTGTTGACAACACAACCCCCTTCCTTTTCATGATGGTTACGCGCTCTTTTACAAAGGCGATCTCACGATCGATGTCCAAGACCCTGCAAAGGGGTGTCTTTTTGCACTCCTTTTCAAAAACAGAGCTGATGACGATGTTTAATTTGGGCAAGAGGGGGAAACGAAAGGTGAGTGATCACTATTATAACAAGAATGACTTGTCATAATATAATTGGTTTAGTTTATCTTTAAGTTTGATTGGGGGAGAATGAGGAGTACCTTGGAATCTCGGAAGTAGTGCGATACCGAGCAAATACATGAAAGGAACGGTAAGGACTTGCCGTTACCATGTTGTTCCAATCCCTCTGAATAAATTAGTTTAATCAATAATGTCTTGAACGTGTCAAGACAGAAAGAGATTAAGCTTTCTAGAACAGATACTACACATGATCAAAGCAAAATGCTTTGAGAAGTGATTTGCTAGGTTGCGCAACAGTGACTTTTATCAATTACCTCTCATTCATAAATTATGGTGAACTTACACTATTGTTGAAGTTTCAACACTCTAGAACTTTCAATCAATGGTCTCAAGAATGCTTGGATATTGGTTGGTTCATTGTTATCTAGATATCACTTCATTATACATATTATGTATATGAGATAGTAGTTGTTATATTATCTGTATCTGTACATGTATTGAATCCAAAGTAATAAAGGAATGAATACTTTTCAAAAGGGGTACCCTTTGTTTGACACTTGCTCATGCAAAGTTGTTCAAAGTCAACTTCAAACACACACTCATTCATTCTCTCATTCATTCACACTCATTCATACTCATTCATTCAAATACAGGTACTTGTATTACTTGTCAACAGGTAGATAGTTGTACTAGTATAGTATAGTATTGTGAAGTACTAAATGGATACTACATCAACTACACCAACAATGACATCGACAACGACCATCTCTGAAGATAATGTGATGACAACAATCGTTGAAGGTGGCACAATGAGTGTACATGCTATACCACCTACTACTACAACAGTTGCAGCCACTGTAATAATACAACAACATCAACAACAACAACTACAACAGCAGACGATAGATAATCATGCAACAACTGTAGTAGACCAGTTTATAAAGTTACAATCTCAACCAGGAGGTGTCGAACAATGGTTGAGTACTCTTGATAAACAACAGTTGTCAACAACAGATGGATGTGGAAGGACATTGTTGTATGTGGCCACTTCAGAACAGAATTATGATGCAGTGCGTCAGCTGATCAAACAGGGAGCAGACGTCAACCAATCGGTCAGATTGTATAACATTGGAACGCAGGTGGTCTCGTCCAACACACCATTCTCATTGCTCAACTACACATATCCCGCGTCGGAGGAGACCGTGCTGCATCTCGCGTCGCGCAATGGAGACCATCAGATGCTCACACTGCTCGTCGAGAGCGGTGCCAACAAGGAGGCGCAGGACAGTCTGCGCAGGACACCCTACGTCCTTGCCGCCGCCAATGGAAGAACAGAGTGTTCAAGTATGTTGTCGCACACATAGACCATGTCATTCATGTCTAACACATCCTTCGATCGATAAATATAGGACTGCTGATACTGTCTGGCGTAAACGTCAATGCTGTGGACTGCTATAACAAGACTGCACTACACTTGGCCATCGATCAGAATCACGAGGATATCTCGACGACGATCACGAGGAATGGAGGTGATCTCTCTGTGCGCTATCATTACAACCCGCATGCCAAGGCAAACATGCTGAGCAACGACATTGAGACAGGACAGGGAAAAGAGCACGAGATTGAGATCATCGAGAAGCTGGACCGCTACGGCCACATCACCGACCAGAACCAGGTACAGACCAAGAAGGACAGTGAGCGCGAGGCTCGGCTCATCGAGCTGGAGCTATCCCGCGCGCAGAAATGGTGGAAGATGATGCGTTCGTGGACGCCCGGCAAGAAGCGTCCGTCCAAGGTGGCGGAGCGCTCAATCAAGGGCATCCCAGACAGAGTGCGTGGACAGGCCTGGCGACTGCTATCCAATTCAGACATCAACAAACTGGCGCAGCCCAATCTGTACGGCCAACTGCTCGACCAGCCTTCCGCATCAGAGCTGGTCATTGACCTGGATGTCAACCGTGCAAGCAGGAACTACATCTACTTCCGCGAGCGATATGGTCACGGACAAGTGGCCCTCTTCAACGTCCTCAAAGTCTATTCCAACTTTGATCAAGAGATTGGATACACACAGGGCATGAGCTCAATCGCTGCTCTTCTTGTTATGTACATGCCAGAGACTGTAAGTTGGCAATGGTCCACGGTGTTGATTGCCCTGGCATGGTAGTGTCGCACTCAATAACTGACCCTCAACCAATCATTAGGATGCATTCTGGACATTTGAACGATTGATGAATGGTGAGAGATACAACATGAGACATCTGTTTGTCACTGGTTTGATCAAGTTACATCAGATGATATATGTGTTCGACAAGCTGCTAGCCAAGAAGATGCCATCTCTTTCCAAACACTTTGTAAGGGCGTCAATCAATCAATCAATCATGGTGATCACTTGTACTGACTGACTGTTGTACTCTCATCATCACTCAGACTCGTATTAATCTAGGATCAGTACTATTCGCGACCAAATGGTTCATAATTGGATACCTGGATACATTGCCGTTCTATCTGATATTGCGTACATGGGACCTGATATTTAGCGAAGGTTATAATATAGTCTATGCAGTGGCCATCACTCTACTTAGACACTTTGAAGGTATGACCAAATATCCACGCTCAATCAATCAATCACTCAACTAACTAATCAATCAAACTTAGGTCAACTGGTTGGCAAACCATTTGAAGAATGTTTCCAGGTGTTCCAGCAACTCGAGAGACTGGAAATGGATCAGGATGAATTTGTAGCATCAGTGATGAAGAATGTAATAAGCAACAAGAAGATTGAGAAGTTGGAGAGGGAGTATCAGGCAAGCCAGAACGTTCCACCACCATCATCGCGCATCGCCGCTGGCGGCGCTGGAGACAAAAAGTCAAGGAGGTCAATGAGGTTCGCGAGTAGGAAGTAGCCCTCCACGTAACAATAACTAAAGAGCGATAGAAGAGAGCGATAATCACTTATATATTATATATACATATATGTACTTTATTCTATCTATATATCAATCAATCGATCAGTACCTTGATGACGATGATGATGATGACGGTGCCTGGCTCTCACAGGCATCGTATCTCCTCTTTAGCACATCGGCAAATGACCTTGTGTTCTTTGGGCCCGCCAGGAACTTTAGCACTGGTGAGCTGGTCTCGGCGTAGCAGAATGATGGCTCGTCCTTGTAGTCGCGAATATCTGGCTTTGGCTCAACATCCTCGGCCTCTACATCATCATCACTCTTGTTCTTTGCAGGGAATATGATGTCCTTGAGCTGATGATAGTCATCGACCAACTTTTGATCATTGTGCACTGAACACAGGAAGCTGTTGTAGCTGCCCTGACCACAGACGATGCATTGCCTCTCCTGGATGCATTGGGCGAGCGTGCGATCGATGTGGATCTCGCGAGCCTTGAGCACACTGCTTGCACCAAACATCTTGTTCTGTCCCTGCTTGTGACGCAGCTGGTTCAGGAAGTTAACCTTGCGATTCAAGTCGTCCTTGTTGTCCTCAGTATGCAGGCTTTTGATCTTGATGGCTTCATTGACGTTGGGATCGACTGCTGTCGATCTGTGCTTGATAAAGTGCTTGGGCACGAGGTCCACCATTGTCATGTAGAAGTTAAAAGTGTTGTCCAACAGTCCAAACGCTGGCTGCTCATCAATGAACTTCTGGGCAGCAGACTTGGCCAATGTTATAAAGTGTTGTGGTGGCAGTTTGAACATGTTATGGTGATTGTACTCTTCCTCTGTCATACTATATGATTGTTAGTTAGTGATTGGAATTATTCCAGTTTGATTGATTGAGTGGGATACATACCCAAAGAGATGTGGAGTCCACTTCCTGATCATGTAAAAGTTCTTGGGAACTATCCTGTAATGGCCAGAGGCAAGGGACAGTGGGTCGTGGTAGGTCTGACCCTCCTCCCAACTGTTTGAAACGGTGTAGTGCTCTGGTGGACTTGATACATAGGTCTGGGGAACGATCTCCACAAGGGAGTACTGAGTGAATCCAAACTTTGCACGTATGGTTGTTGACACCTGATCGAGTTGGTCCATTCCAATCAGATCAGATTGGAACAAGAACTCCTTTGTCCTATAATACAATACAACTCCATCGATTTGACCTTTATACATCACGTACGAGTCTCTGACCTTGTGTGGATATGTGATCTCCTTCTTCTCGGCACTCTTTCCAGTCAACTTGTCCTGAATCACCTTTGATGTTGTCGATGGCTTGACAGTTGTTGTAGATGGAGTCCTAACAGGTGGGATGTATGTATCATCATAATCATCATCCGCTACAACAGCGGTTGTATAAGTAGTGGCCACCACCTGGTCATGGTTGTAATTGTATGAAGTGATTGGTTGTTGCTCAACCTGGACATCTGGCACCACGGCAAAGGTATATTGATCCTTTTCCACTGGGACCTCATGACTGGTATAGTTATAATTATAATTGTACTCTTGTGTTGTTGGTTGTGGTGGTTGGTAATAACTTATATCTGGTACATCTTGTGTTTGATTGTATTGGTATGATGATGTGCTGTCAGTGTTGTACGAGTTGTTGTAAGTGTTGTATGAGTTGTTGTAAGTGCTGTTGGAGTTGTAATCATATGATGATGAGGATGATGTGTTATAAGAGTTGTTGTCATAGTTATATTGATTGAGTGTATTGTCATCTTTGGTTGATATAGTCTCTTGTGAGTTTGTTGGAACAAAACTATCGAATCGATCACCTAATAGTTCACGCTTCCTACTAATAAACTCATACTCTGTAATGAATCCAGAGCTATAAATATCTTTCAATTTGTTATATTGCTCAGTCAATTCTATCAAATATATTATAATAATTATTAGTATTATTATCAATCAAACTTGTGAATATAAATATTATTATTATATTACATACCAGTATCGTCTGTCATCATTGTATCTGTTTCTATATATCTATATCTTTAGCTATCTATAATTTTATCTTTATGTATCTGTATGAATGTAATATATATATATATATGTTTGATTATGAATAATATATATATTAATGTTTGTTGAAGTTATGCTTATGCAGAAATGACATGGAAGGTTTGTTAATGACTCACTCCATAAATAGAAATAATTTGATTGATCTCAGAATCAATCGGTACAAGCCCAGGGTTGTTTGTCAAAAATAATCAGGAAACACTGCTGAATTTGATCATGAACCCAAACCAACCAACACCAAAAATCATGAGGGACTGGGTGAATTGGACGAAACTGTGTTGAAACTGATTCAACGAACTCACTTGGAGATGAGACACTCAATGTTCACTCAGTTGTAAACATTATCTCAATACAATAACTTCCGTACCCACTTGATTTATCATATGTATCCATTACGAAGTCTCCAACCAATTAGAGCTATATTTCACAACATAACATTCTCCTACAAATAATATACTGATGAAGGTCTTCTTAAACCTAAGGCTTGGTCGGTAAGCATAACGACCTAGGTCGTTCATTTATACTTTTGTCGGTAGATAAATGTTACAATGTTTGTAGACGCAATGATAACCGAACCGGAACTTTTCGGGAGTTAATGATCACAGCGTGAGTGTGTGGGATGTTTGATTGTTCGACCGATCGTGTGTGTGTGAGCTGGCATTGGCAAAAGGGGGCAGGTGACTAATCTTCCGATCTCAATGGCACCTCCACGAATAAATATCTATTTACATCAATCGCGAAGGGGGCAATAACTTATGTTGTTGTTAACAACAAGGTAGAAGAAATCAAGACAATGAGTGTGTATGTTTAAAACAACTTAAACTGCCCAATCAGCAAACAACACTGAGTCCATGGTCGATGGTCCAAGGTCCACATCCATCAATCCGTCATCCTCTCATTCATTCAACCAATCAATCAACTTTTCACATCCATTCTACAAATAACTTAAACAATAAATAAATATGTATAAACTATTTACAAGTAGGACACTCTTGGTCATGGTGATGGTGATCATGACATCATCGATGATAGAAATTGGAGTTGGCGAGGTAGTGGTAACCAAAGACAACCCTGACAATGGTCACACCTATGTGCTATACAATGCCAACGAGTCATGGCATACTGCCTACAACGATGCAATATTACAAGGATAGTATGTATCTCTCTCACTTCTTCAATCGTAATTGGAATGATTCACTAACCATCATAAATATAGTTATCTCACTACTATTACAACATTCAGTGAGTATAACTTCATTATTACGGAGTTATTCAACTTGCAACCAGGATACTATGCATGGATTGGTGGTAACACAACATCCATAAGTGGTCAGGATGTAAGGACAGTGTATCAATGGGCCAATGGACCAGAGTTTGGTATACCCATCTACGACTTTGACAAGTCACGTTGTCTTGGATTCTGTAACTTTAACATTGATCAGCCTGATCACAACAAACAAAACAATCTCTATTTCTGGAACAACCTGGCATGGGATGATCACGCCGATGGTGCATCAGTGAATGGATACATAATGGAGAAGGGTGGTGAAGATGATCCTGTAATTTATCCATTCGATATGCAACCAAGTGTTCTGACCATTGGCAATCTGGACAAAACGCTATGGAACACATCCAATGTCAGTGTAACCTTTACCAACAGTTTGGCCGAGCGTCCCTCCTTTGACTGTCCTATTCTCTCCTGGTCTCCATCACAAATTACTTGCCAAACTCAATTCACCGTCGGGGAGTATGACATCACAGTCACAGATGGCACTCAATCATTCATCCATAAGAAGTTTCATCCAAATTGTAAGACATCCTCGATCAACAACCAATCCATCATTTAACTAACAATGACATCAAAAATATAGTACCATTTATAACAACTATTTATCCTGGATTCGATGTCAACTCTACGATGACAATCAATGGACAGAACTTTGGTGATAACATTACACTTATAGAGGCTGTCATAGTTTCTGAGTTCAACATTGAGTGTATCCCAATTCAATATCTTGTCATTGACCGATCATTCACATGTCGTATGACTGATTCCTTTGACAAACAATCATCATACAGATATGCCCAAATCTCCATCACAGTCGGTGGAGTACCAATGAACAATATTGGTAGATTTGGAGTTTGTAAGTATCTTCTGTCCATCCAATCTAATCAATCACTAACATATCAATCTCCACCAGATGATAGCTCTACCAATGGAATGTTAGTATTCACGGGCTCAACATATCCCAACGTATTCAACTTTAGTGTTGAGGGTTATGAGACTTACCTTTATGCTCCTTTGATCAAGGAATCAATCGATCTCATTCACATCATGGTCAAGAATAGTATTTACTATCCTACAATCCAATTGAATAGTAAGTTAACTATTTATAAATAACTCCAGGTTGGTAACAACTATATTCTAACTTGAGTTCCTATCGATCCAGGTGCCTATTATTTCCGTGATGGTCCACTCAAAGGTCAAAAAATCATCGATAGTAATGGACCCAACAATGCTATATTCAGCAACACCTCTATCATATTTGACTCCTCAGTATCATTCTATATGTCAGATGGTAAATATAATCAATCAATCAATCAACCAACAAAATACTAACATATTATAACTTTAGAGAATATGACCATTTACCTTGATACAAGCACTGGAACATTGAGATCTGGATATGATGTAGCTGAATATAGTGTTGGATTCATCAACTTGACAAAACCAGATCCAGTATTCCTCAACTCATCACATACTCAATTACCAACATCAGGTGGTCAGCTTGTTCTCCAAGTGGATAACATACAACTGTTGAGTAGTAGTTATATGTTGATGAAGGAGGGCGGCATCCAGGTGGACTGCTCAATCATACCAATCATAGAGAACTCATCATTGGTGATCAATGTACACAGTGGATATGGATCATCAAAGCCACTCATTCTGGCAATCAATGGACAGACGACCACACAATCAACCACAACCAACAACGCCAACTACTTGTCATTCAAACCTCCAACCTTGAGTTCCGTCAACATCACTTCGACAACATTGTTCACTGATGGTGTCGGAATGATTACATTGTTTGGTGATCAATTCGGTCGAGTGCCAGAGATAATCAAACTCAACATTGTTAATGATCAAGGTGTCATTGTGAAGACGATATCATCACCATCACAGTTGTCATTCATCCAAGATCATCGTATTATCCAGTTGCAATATCCCTCCCAATCTGGTCACGGATCAAACAATATCTCCATAACAGTTGATGATCAGACTTCCAACATTATCAAGTTCACTCCACCACCAACCATCACAATCCAATCATCAACATCATATGAATATCAAACACCCGGTACCATCACCATCAAGGGTACACTACTATATCAGCCATTGAGGGTGGTGACCATTGGTGGTGCGTCATGTGCCAATGCCACTCTTCTGGATTCAGAGAGAATCACATGTCAGTATGATGGATCCGCGCCGCCACAGTCCAACAGTCTGGGTTTGCCCATCACAGTCCAATGTGGTCAATCAATAACAACTGCCTACAAATATGTATATGTCAACAACTCACAATGTGGACCACAACCTTATTGCTCTGGCAATGGACATTGTGAAGATGGATCATGTTTCTGTTCGGATGGATTCAGTGGTAGTCTGTGCGAGCATGATAACACAGTACCAAGCAATCATACACCATCTATCAACACTGGCAATAGTACAATTGATAACTTCTCAGTCTTCTTTACACATATCAGAGAGATTGATGGTGCGTCTGGCAACCCAGAGATCACATACCCCGTGTCCAGTGTCATTTGGAACGTCACCCGAAACACATCATCAACCTTGGAGACTATTGGAATGATTCCAGATGTGTCTGGATTCAAGATCAATGTCACTTCAATCATCTTTGAGGCGGACACCAACTATACATTCGCCGGCCAGGTGTTGTTCATGCAGAGGAACAGCTTCAAGTACCAGATTGAGATGGAGGGTTGGCCTTTCAGGAGCAAGAACAACTACCTTCAGTTGGTGTATGAGCTCCAGAATCCCAAGGACACCAAGTGCTCTCAATCTCAGAGCACATACAATGATGCCAACAATCTACTTTGGATCCAGATCAAGTTTGCAAATCAATTATTCCTGGTCAAGTTCTCGAGCAGGATGTTGGTGGACAATCGAATCACAGCCAGCCAAGCAAAGATACTTGGAAATGATGATACTATATTCCAACAACCATACTACAAGGATTTGGGTGACTCATCCAGGTTGTTGGTGGCGATGGTGATGCCATACTTTGGACAGACGACAATCGATCCAAACTTCTCTTTACTTATTGATAAGTCGGCTCAAGGTGATTCAGACTCTTGTGGATCATCATTTAAATGGTGGTGGATAGTCGTGGCGGCAGGATGCACAATAGTACTTGCGGCCATTGTTTGTGGTATCATATATCATAACAAGAAGAAACGCGACTTCAGGAAGAGGACAAGTATGTCACTATCTAAACTCAATAATTAATTGTTTCAATATTATAATTGTTGTTATTAATTTGTTTGATTTGATTGATTAATTAATTCTTATTTTTGTTTGTTTACCATGGTTATGTATTCGCGGGGAGATAGACAATGTCTAGGGTGGGACTCATTTATTTGAAGGCTGGGGCAGGTAAGGGCAAGGGTATGGTTAGTTAGAATGAGCTCTGAGTGATATTGAGGTGTCTTTGTGTACTTACCACAATGAGCTCCAGTTTGAGATGGTGGAAGAGTGGTGCAGTATTTTCCATTCTCATACTTGTTATCAACTCTCTTTGGTGCTGGTGTCATTCCAGACTTGCTGGCGGTCACACAATATTCGCCTGGAAGTAGGTTATCAAACTTATAACCTCCACCTGAGTTACTATCGATAGTCTTGACGACTTCTCCGGTTGCCACGTTTGTCAACTCAAACTTGGCACCATTGACTGGCTTGTTAGTATCAAGCTTTCCATTGTTTGCACTGTCGTTCCATACGTATCCTTGGATAACGTAGGTCTTGGGCTTCATCAAACCTGTTTTAAAGAAAATTAATGAATGAGTTAGAGGGTTGTCTAGTCTTTAGTTCGCTAGCTGGACAGATTAAACTTACCCAAATGTAATGCAGTATTGGAGGGTGGGACAGTTACACAGAGGTCACCATTAGAGTCGAACTTGTTGTCTGCCTTCTTGCCCGCTGGGACCCAGGTGTTGCCTGGATATGATCCATGAAGGCAATAATCTCCTGCGGGAATATCTGGGAAGGAATAGGATCCTTGAGTGTTTTCAAGAGTCTTGATAACTCCTCCTTTCGAGTCACGCAATTCCATCGTTGCACCATTGACCACCTTCTTTGAGTCCAAAACTCCAGTCTGAGAACTGTCATCAAAGATGTATCCCTGCAGTTTGTACAACTCTGGTGGAGGGGTTGGTGCAGTAGTTGGTGGAGTTGTTGGTGGAGTAGTTGGTGGAGTAGTTGGTGGACTAGATGGTGGAGTAGTTGGTGGGGCCTTGGTTCCCTTGACCATTCCAAGGTGAGCTCCAGTGTTGCTGGGACCAACTGTGATGCAGAGCTTGTCATCCTCATACTTGTTATCCTTCTGCTTAACTCCTGAGGTCCATCCTTCCTTGGAAGCAACTACACAGTAATCACCGGCATCAAGTCCCTTGAATGAGTAGGCTCCATTGGCGGGGTCAATGCTTCTGATCTCATTGCCGGCGCTGTCCTGGAGGGACATCTTGACTCCGTTGAGCTTCTTGTTGGTGTCAAGGACACCTGATTTGGCTGAGTTGTCATCCCAAATGTATCCTTGGATTACAAACGTTGGTTTCTTGATCATACCAAAGTGGGCACCAGTCTGGCTTGGACCAACTGTCACACAGTATCTGCCCTTGTCGTTGAACTTGTTGTCGTTTCCTGGCTTTCCTGGAACGTATCCCTCTCCTGGATAATATCCGACGACACAGTAGTCACCGGCATCGAGGTTTGTAAAGGCATAACCTCCCTTGGTGTCAGTCTTGCGGCTAAGTAAGTTTCCAGTGCTGTCGTATAGCTCCATGGTGGCGCCGTTCAACTTCTTGTTGGTGTCCAGCTTGCCCTGGTTCTGGGCCGAGTCGTCCCAGATGTAGCCCTGAATCCTGAACGATGGTTTCTTGATCATTGCATAGTGAGCACCGGTCTGGCTTGGTCCAAGAGTTGTGCAGAACTTGCCCTTGTCAAACTTGTTGTCATTAGCCTTCTTGCCTGGCACGTAATCACCTGATGGGTATGATCCGTACACGCAATAGTATCCTGCTGGGAGACCCTTGAATGAGTAGCTACCCTGGGCATTGGTAGTGGTCCTAATCACAGTGCCATTCTCATCTTGAAGTTCCATAGATACACCGTTGAGTCTCTTGTTGGTGTCAAGCTTGCCCTGGTTCTGTGCAGTGTCATCCCATATATATCCCTGGATGGTGTAGGTTGGAGCCTTGTACATTCCAAGGTGTGCTCCGGTTTGGCTTGGACCAAGGGTGAAACAATATCTTCCATCCTTGTATCTGTTGTCATTCTGGGGTACGGTGGTGGTCCACTCGTCAGAGTTGGAGGTTGCTGAAGCATCGATGCAGTAGTCACCAGCCTTGAGTCCAGTGAAGGCATAGCCGCCATTGGCCGAGTTGATCACTCTGAGCTCATTGCCATCGGAATCGAACAACACCAACTTGGCGCCGTTGAACTTTTTGTTGGTGTCCAGCTTGCCTTGGTGTCCTGCCGAGTCGTCCCAGATGTAACCTTGGACTCGGAAGGTGGGTTCCTTGACCATTGCATAGTGGGCACCAGTGTTGCTTGGACCAACAGTAAAGCACTGCTTGCCATTCTCATACTTGTTATCGCCAGCAAACTTGCCTGGGATGTAGTCATCCCTGAATCCAACTATACAATATCTGCCCTCGGCAAGACCACTGAATGAGTAACTACCTTGAGCGTCGGAGATGCTCCTGATCACATTTCCATCGGTGTCCATCAATTGCATAGTGACGCCATTGAGCCTCTTTTCAGTGTCAAGCTTGCCCTGGTTCTGTGCAGTGTCGTCCCAGATGTAGCCCTGGATCCTGAATGATGGCTTCTTAACCATGGCAGCATGGAGACCGGTCTGGGATGGACCAACAGTCTTGCAAACACGTCCATTGGAGTCGAACTTGTTGTCATTGCCCTTGGTGCTGGGGGTGTAGACATCGTTGGTGTCGTATGTTACAACACAGTAGTCACCCTTTGGAAGTCCACGGAATGAGTAGCTGCCTTGTGCGTTCTCGATGGTTCTAATCCTTGTGCCATTGGAGTCGTACAACTCAAGATTCATGCCATTGAGGGCCTTGTTGGTGTCCAGAGTACCTTGGTTCTGTGCAGTGTCGTCCCAGATGTAGCCCTGTAGTGTGAATGATGGCTCTTTGACCATTGCAGCATGGAGGCCGGTCTGAGATGGACCCACCGTCTTGCAGACGCGTCCATTGGAGTCGAACTTGTTGTCATTGCCCTTGGTGCTTGGTGAGTAGATGTCCTTAGGGTCGTAGATTACGACGCAGTAGTCACCCTCTGGTAGACCTCTAAATGAGTATGAGCCTTGGGCATTCTCGATAGTTCTGATAATAGTGCCATTGGCATCATATAGCTCCAAATTCATGCCATTGAGGGTCTTCTTGGTGTCCAGAGTACCTTGGTTCTGAGCGGTGTCGTCCCAGATGTAGCCCTGTAGTCTGAATGTTGGCTTCTTAACCATGGCGGCGTGAAGTCCCGTGTCATTTGGACCCACCTTTCTGCAAACGCGACCGTTCACATACTTGTTGTCCTTCGACTTTGTGCTTGGTGAGTAGGTGTCCTCTGGGTCGTAGATGACCACACAGTAGTCACCCTTTGGAAGTCCACCGAAGGAGTAGCTGCCTTGTGCGTTCTCGATCGACCTAATGCGAGTGTTGTTGGCGTCGTACAACTCAAGATTCATTCCATTGAGGGCCTTGTTGGTGTCAAGAGTACCTTGGTTCTGAGCGGTGTCGTCCCAGATGTAGCCCTGCAGTCTGAATGAGGGCTCCTTGACCATGGCAACATGAAGGCCGGTCTGGGATGGACCAACAGTCTTGCAAACTCGTCCATTTACGAACTTGTTATCATTGCCCTTGGTGCTTGGTGAGTAGATGTCCTTGGGGTCGTAGGCTACGACGCAGTAGTCACCCTTTGGAAGTCCACGGAATGAGTAGCTGCCTTGTGCGTTCTCGATCGTTCTTATCCTTGTGCCATTGGCATCGTAGAGCTCCATTGTCATGCCGTTCAAACGTTTGTTGGTGTCAAGAGTACCTTGGTTCTGTGCAGTGTCGTCCCAGATGTAGCCCTGTAGTGTGAATGATGGCTCCTTGACCATTGCAACGTGGAGTCCGGTATCACTTGGACCAACTTTCCTGCAGACACGTCCATTCACGAACTTGTTGTCATTACCCTTGGTGCTTGGGGAGTAAGTGTCCTTGGGGTCGTAGGCAACGACGCAGTAGTCACCGGCATCGAGTCCTGGGAATGAGTAGGAACCCTGGGCATTGGGGATGGTCCTGATCAATGTGCCATTGGCGTCGTAGAGCTCCATGGTCATTCCGTTCAACTTCTTATTGGTGTCAAGCTTGCCTTGGTTCAAAGCGGTGTCGTCCCAGATGTAACCTTGGAGTTTGAAAGATGGCTTCTTCAACAGGGCATAGTGGAGGTTGGTTTTGGATGGTCCAATATCCACACAGACACGACCGTTGTGGAATTTGTTGTCAACTTGTTTGGGACCTGGAACGTAGGTGTCGCCAGGGTGGTATCCAACGACACAGTAGTGACCGGCCTCCAGCTTCTTGAAAGCGTAGCCTCCATTGGTGGAGTTCATAGTTCTAACCAATGTGCCATTGGTATCGTACAACTCCATGGTGACACCATCAAGCAACTTTGATGTGTCAAGGTTACCCTTGTTTTGAGCGGTATCATCCCAAGTGTAACCCTGGATGTCGAACAAGGGATTGGGGTTGGAGACCAAACCTAGAAACATTGTGTTCAAATGTACATTGAGTAAGTATGAATACTAACACATATCAGCCACTCATTCAATCAATCGATGAACTTACCAAAGTGGGCATTTGTCAGACTTGGACCAACAGTGACGCAGTACTTTCCATTGTTAAACTTGTTGTCTTGCATGTGTGGACCTGGGAGGTAGGAGGCATCTGGAGCTTTGCCGACGATACAGTACTTTCCCTCGGTAAGACCATTGAAAAGATAGGTACGGTTGGCATTGTCTAAGGTCTTCAGGACATTTCCATGCTCATCTTGGAGCTCCATGATGGCGCCGTTGAACAACTTGGATGTGTCAAGCTTTCCATTTTTGTTGACGTCTTCAAAGATGTAACCTATATAATAAAGTTGAGGGAGTATGAGTAAATATTATGGTCAGAGTTTGATTAAGCGACCGAGTAATGGAGTATTAAGGTGATTGTGATTAGTCATACCTTGGATGTAGTAGGTGTTGTTCTTAATCAGACCAAGGTCAATGTTGGATTGGCTCTGATTAAGATGGGTACATGTCTTGTAGTTGCTTAGGAATTGATTGTCACCAGAGTGTGGTCCAATCTTGTAGGATGAGTCAGGATGTTCGGCAGTGATACAGTAGTCACCCTTGGGCAAGTTCTTGAAATTATAGCTTCCATCACTGGATACTACTGTCTCCAATACTTTGCCATTGGAATCTAGCAAGGTCATTTTGGTCTTGAGCAACTTCTTGCTTGGGTCGAACTTCATGGAAGAAGAGTTGGTGGCATCCCAGATGTTTCCGCTCAAGGTCAAGACACCAGGCGTAGGGGTAACACTGGTAGTGGTAGCAACCGTGGAGGCTGTTGTCGTGGTAGTTGGAACGGCCGTGGTTGAAGCAGATGTTGTCACTGTGGTCGTGGCAGGGGTAGGAGTTGGTTTTCCAGTAGTTGTGACGGTTGTAGTGGCAGTTATGGTGCTGGTTGGAGTGGCAGTGGTAGATGCTGTCGTGGAAACAGTTGTCGTTGCTGGAGTAGGGGTAGGCACACCAGTGGTGGTAACTGTTGTCGTGGCAGTGATGGTGCTAGTAGGAGTGGCAGTGGTAGATGCGCTAGTGGAAACAGTTGTCGTAGGTGTACTTGTCGTGGACGTAGTGGGCCTGACAGTTGTCGAAGTGGTTGTGACAGGTGGTCTACTAGTGGTGCTGACAGTCGTGGTGGCAGTAATGGTACTGGTAGGCGAGACTGTAGTTGAAGCAGTAGTGGACATGGTAGTTGTTACGACCGGTGGAATTGCAGTAGTGCTCACAGTGGTGGTGACAGTAGTAGTGGCTGTGATGGATGAAATTGGCCCGGTGGTTGTTGCCGTTGTCGTTACCGTAGTAGACACTATTGAAGAAGATACTTGAGCAATGGTGCTAGCGACAGTACTGGCTACCGAGGATGCTGTGGACACCGTGGTAGTGGCAACAGTTGACACGGTGGTCATTGAGGTGGTGGTAACGGTGGCTCCAGTGCTTATGGAGACACATGTAGGTTGGCCATTGATCACTTGACAAGTTGTGTACTGCTGGCATTTCTTAAAGAAACACTTGTCAAAACAAGTGGGTGGCAATCCAAGATGTTGTCCACAACAAAGTTGGGTGTCTGGACAAACACGTGGTCCACATTGTTCTAATAATATTGAAATTGAAAAAAAAACTTATGTTAATAATTATATTTTTAATTTATACTTTGGACAAACAAATACATACCTAACGAGGAAATCTCCAAACAAAAACAACTTAAAATAAGTAAGAGTATTACTTGTACATGAATACTCCCCATTTTTGTTGTTGTTGTATTATTATTATTTGTAGGTGTTGTGGTTGTTGTAAATGAATTGAATATTTGTTGTTTCTAGCATGTATATATCATGATTACTTTTCTACTACGTTGTTAACAGTATGAGAAGAATACTTCCAAATTCTTACATAGATGAATCCTACTCGTAGGTAACCCCCCCATTTTCTCATATGATAGCTCTTCTTCTTTATTAAACCCAAAACTGATAATACATATGAAATGTGTGGCCCTTCATCTCTACTATGTTCACACTGTTCATTCATCTTATTAACAGAGTTACCATACAGTGGAGCCACTGTTTACAAAATAAAATGATGAGGAATTCAGTTCAGTGTCAGTGAGGTTTATTGAGTTCCATCTCGACCACCATCTGTGAGCCAAATTGATTGAAAGGTGTTGATGATGTAGATTACAACAATCATATTTGAACACCCACTCAATTCAATGTGGAATGTTACCACACTTCTTAAATGATCAATACAGCTGGAGGAGTATATGAATGTTGATAACCATTATATCGATTACCTAGATATGTTTGATGTGTAGAAGAAACAAGATACCTGTGGTTGATGATAATCTTACCAATGTATGATAGATCAAGTTTGCCAATGAACTATTGCTGGTCAAGTTCTCGAGCAGGATGTTGGTGAACATCGTATAACAGCCAGCCAATCCAAGATTCTTGGAAAGGATTATACAATACTCCAACAACAATACTACAAGGATTTGGATGATGACTCGTCCAGGCTCTTGGTGGCGATGGTGATGCTATACTTTGGCGAGACGACAATCGATCCAAACTTCTCTTTATTGATAAGTCATCACAAGGAGATTCTGACACTTGTGGATCATCATTTAAATGGTGGCGGATAGTAGTGGCAGTTGGATGTGGAGTGGAGGAGGAGTAGGAAGGAATGATCATTGAACATTATGTGGAGGCCGTTGGACCAACATTCCTCAAAGTATGTCGTTGTCTTTGAATGATTGAATGATCGAGGGATCGAGTGGAAACTGGAACATTTTAGTTGGTGATCACTTTTTCAAAAATACTCAACACTACTTTGTTTTGCACCCACCACAACCTTTTGCAAATAATGCATTATTTTTTTGATCAAACTTCCAACGGTCACGAGTTGTGGGAGGCAAAAACATGAAAAATAAAGAATTGTTTTGGTTTTTTCAAATATCTTAAAGAAAATTGAGGCGCTGTGATAGCGACCTTGGTTGCCTGTCTCTATCCGTCACAACATACATGTTGTTTTGGCTTGTGTTATAATTAATTCTATGTTAGTTAGGTTGTGTTTGTTTGTTGTTGCGAAAGATAGATAGAGAGAGATAGATAGATAAAGGAAGTTGTATCACTAAGACAATATCATTATACGCGAGAGACAGTGTTTTTTAAAACGACAGGACATATATATATTATTAATACCTGTATTAGTACAATAACAACTTATATTATTATATATATATTATAACATTACAAACAAACGGACTTGGACCAGTTGGATCAGATCAAGGACATAGACATCACTTGAATCAATCAATCAATCAATTCACATAAAAGGTATTGTCGACAACAATTAATTAATCAACATATAATATTGTGTCGTGGACAGGATGGATGGATAGGATAGGATAGGATAGAATATGACAGGTCCAAAAGATGTCAGAATGGACCATTCGGTTGCCGATGGACATCACCATCGTAATCCTTTCAATCAATCACATCATGAACAGCCATCAATCATTCGCCCATAACAGATCTTATCAATAGATAGCACTTTCATTCATTCATTCACTCATTCAATCAGTAGTAGTAGCAGCAGTGTAAAGATCAAGATTGCACAGTAGCAACGATATATATCACTAGTTTGTGTGGTTATATAATTTTATAATGATTGTCAGTTATAACTACTTATATTTATATTATACACACACACACACACACACACACACACACTGTGATTGATTATCTGTATCTTTTATATGTGTGTGTGTGAATTGGAGTTGGTCACTCCCACTCATCCATCAATCACTCCCCACACTCACACACATGATCAAAACACATACACAACAGATGGACCATCATCTTAAAACACAACTACCGCTGGTACTCCATTCCCCAATACCAAGCCTGCATTGCACATCACCATCGTACGAGTATACATACACACTCGCCCGTGTCTATCTCTTGTGATTATGCCTATGTGTGATCACGCATAGTATAAATGTATATATGGCTCTGGCTGGATTGATGGCGGTCCATCAGCCAACCAACCGACCTCTCCATCAACCGCGCATTTGTGGCAGGCACAGACCTACACTGCTTCATCATTCAAATTCATGTCTGTCTGTCTTTCCATTCAATTCTTGTGCTTGTGCTGTTGTTGCTGCTGCTGCTGCTGTTTTTGTTGCTGTTGTTGATTGTTTGATCGTGGTCGTTATAACGGACATACATCCAAGATAGATAAGGAGGTTGCATTGCTTTATTATTCATTGTTATTGTTGGAAACTAACTCATTTACATTTGTAAATATATATATAATTATAAACTTTAGAAAGGACAACTATTTAGCATATTTCCAGTTAGCTAGTAATCAGTCAATCGATCAACCTGACATTACTACTAGACTCCGGTGTCATCATTCTCCAGTAACATCCACCCCAATCCAATCCAGATTCTGTACTTTATTTATTTGTATCATACTCGATCGATCAATCAATCATCAATACATACATACATACAATGTCATCACCAATCACTCAAGTCCACAACCCATCGGATAATTACTCAAAGTCCAAAAGTAAGTTTGAATTTCCCGCAATTGGGCTGGGATGGTCCCTGGACCTGGCCCCTCCTCGCCCCAAACTCACACAAACACTCACACTCTTACTTAATTCCAAATCACAGACAGCAATGGGAAATCAAAGAGGAAGAAGCTGTTCAAGACACTGTTCTGTTGTTTCAGCGAACAGAACAACAACACCAACCACAATAACAATAGAGTGACAACTTCCAAGCAGGAGCTGACGAATGTACAATCATCCGACACATTGATGAAGCCAATGGCACCAAATCACGTAGGAAAGAAGACACTGGTGCTCGATCTAGACGAGACGCTGGTGCACTCTAGCTTCAAGCCAGTGGCCAACGCCGACTTTATCGTGCCGGTCGAGATCGAGGGCCAGATGCACCAGGTCTACGTCCTGAAGCGTCCTGCCGTCGACCACTTCCTGCAGGCCATCTCGCAGAAGTTTGAGATCGTCGTCTTTACAGCCAGTCTGGCCAAGTACGCCGACCCCGTGCTCGACCTGCTGGACCCCAACCGCGTCGTCCACTACAGACTGTTCCGCGAGGCTTGCAACCACCACAAGGGCAACTTTGTCAAGGATCTGTCGCGTCTGGGCCGCGACCTCAAGTCCACCATCATCATTGACAACTCGCCCACCTCCTACCTATTCCATCCAGAAAACGCCATCCCCATCGAAAGCTGGTTCGACAGCGACTCTGACCGCCAACTGATGGAGGTGCTGCCCCTGTTAGATAGTTTAACAAAGGTCGACGATGTCCGAACATGTTTAGATCAGAATAAGTATGTTGCTGCTTGCTAATCTCGACTTGTCATGCATGGTAACTAACATACCTCCCTCCTCTAGGAATTGGAACGCTGGTGCAAGGTCACGATAAATGTTGCGACAACATGGTCCAAGTTATAACAACCTTTAGTAATATACTTTAGAGATTTCTATTATATTTATACAGTACAAGTACACTCCTCCCTCCCCTCCTCACATTATAACATACAAACAAACTCAATTGGTTGTTGTTGTTTAATTACAACAGCACAGCGCAGCACACGCAGCAGTACCAGCCAGCCCATCACTAACACTGGCGGTAGCGTCAACAGCACAGCAGCAGCAGCAACAGCAGCACCATCCATCTCAAACAAGTGACACACCACTACGCACAAAATGGGATGTCTAGTCTGTCCAGCCAGCCAGCAATCCATCCATCCACCACTCATCACCTCATCACCAGTGTTTTTTCCCCATTCTTAGCCACCATCCATCCATCAATCGATCCTTCGTTATCCTCCCCACACATACCCGCCACACGCTACATCCCATCCGGGGGAGTTGTCGACAACTCTGACTGTCTTTCTCGACAACTCGCACCCCATCATCACTCCAGTCGCTGGTTGTATTCGCTGAAATAAACAACATATCCATTATCCGCAACCCGCCTTCTCTTCTCTACTCTTCTCTCTGTGTCGCAACCGTCGTCCAATCACTTGTTTAAATAAGTGAGCGGCGGCAATGTTGGCTGTCATCGGTAACTTATAAATATGTGCTCTAGCAATCCCCATTCGATTGGATGGATGTAAGTACCACCATTACCAACAAACTCGTTTACTAACAAACCAACTAACATTATCCAGGAAGAATAGAAACATGGAGTGTGAGGGGAAGTGATGGCTACGTACTCCAATTGAGCATTAGTGGCCTTTTCCGCAGGTATTTAATACGTAGTTGCTCTTCATTCTCACCAGGGTCGATTGGTATAATGATCGATTCAACATGGTAGGGCACTGGTGGTTTGTCTGTATCAAACGTCATCTTATATACGCCTTTGTTCACCTCTTCCTCATCCTCCTCATCACGCAATCGATTGAGTTTGACCTGCTTTCGCAATCGCTTGTATGACTTGGTGCCCTTCCAATAGAAGAAGTATTCGATTGTCTCTTGAAGTGTCTTGGTCCCCAGCTGGAAATCAATGAATGAATGGATGGGAGTGTCAGTGCGCTGCTGCGAATGTGCTGTTGCCAAGGTAGGCATAGTTAGGATAGAGTACCAGTGATTGTATCTTTGGTAAGTTTGGCCTCTGGTATATCTTATAATAGTATTGGAACTCTGCCTTCTCCTTGGTTGTCCATGTAGCTGGATTGGGTGCTTTGTCAGTCAATCACAATCAATCAATCAGTCAGTCAGTCAATCGTTACCTTGGATATGATCGTGGAGACATGGTGTTGTCGTTGTGAATGTGGAGTAGTCGATGGATTTCAGTGCATCATCAACAGAGTAGTTGTAGTCGCGAAGAATGCCAAGATAGACGTCGTCGGTGATGTGGTCCACGTTGATGGTGACAGCAATGCCCATTGATTCCAGCGTGGATTGAATGCGTTTGAAACACTGTCGTGCGCTATTAATGTATTTATCGACCGTCTTTGGACTCAAGACGAACGGATCGAACAGTTGTTCAAATATCTCTGAGTCGTCTGGATGCATGGTATCGGTTAGTTAGATACTGGCATGGTATGATGACGATGATGATACCTACATGAAGTATGTACAGTGGGGTTGAATTCGCCTTTATATCGAGGCACTTCTGCCTTTGCCTCTTCGTAGTATTGCTCGTCACTCATAGCGTTGTGGTCGTCATCATCGTCTTTGTTGTTGTTGTCGCCCATGTTGGTATCTATGTATATATTGTTGTTGTTGGTGTTGTTGGTGTAGTTGGTGTAAGTGTTGTTGTTGTTGTGATGGATTGTATTTCTTTGAGGCGGAAGAATTGGAGGAGGAGGACCAGGAGGAGTAGCAACTTTCTTTGTTGTTGTTGGAGGTGTAGCCAAGGTGTTATCGCCTTTCTTTATACTATTGTTCTTGTTCTTGCCATTGCTAATGGTTTTGTTTTTGCTACTGTTACTGCTACTGCTTCTGGTGCTGATGCCACTGCCCTTGATGCTACTGACGCCGTTGTTGTTCACAGCTCCATTGTTGTCGATATTGCGGAAGCTTGCTTGACGCACATCAGACTCCAGACTCTTGAACACTTTTGAAAGGGATGGAGATGGAGTGGCGTCTGGCAACTGGGTGAGGGGATTGGTTTTGTTCCTTCGAAGTACCCTTCGCAAGTCGACGTTGCCATTGTTTGGAGTGGACTTGCCATTCTGCTCAACTTTGATGTTGTTCTTGTTGTTGTTGTTGTTGTTTTGCTTCTCCATGCTCTTGTTTGGCGTTGTCATTGGAGTTGTGTTGTTGAATGAGTGGTGGTCGTCGTCGTCATAGTCCTTCAATACTATGACAGGGTCATAGTCTATGTTGCCATTGATCATGGTATTGCAATTACCATTGATATTGCCATTGTCTGTGTCATTGTCGTTGCCATTCACAACAACCGTTGGGAGAGTATCCATCATGTCGTCTTCGTCGTCTTCTTCATTCTCTTCTTCTTCTTCCTCTTCTACTACCCCTTCTTCTACTTCTTCATTTTCCCTGATGGGAACTACCCTGACATTGCTTCTGGTTGGTGTAGACTTTGGTGATTCTGATAGAGCAGAGTGATATGAATCTGATGAGCTTGAATCCTCGTTGACTTGGTCATCATCTTCGCTTTCGACTACATCATCTTCACTCTCCTCACTCTCTATATATCCTTTTGTGATGATTTTGCCTGGAGAGAACCTGCCATATCTTGTATAAGTGTTGGCCATGATCTTGCCCCTTCTGACCCGCCTGCCTACTTGCCTGCCTGACATGACGTATGCAACTGTCTAGTAGGTAGTGATGACTGTTAATGTTGTCGGCTGTACCTTGTTGTTGTTATTGACAACAAAAGTGTTGAGATGAATAATTATTCGTCTGATCTTTGTGTTTGGCTTGAAAAACACTCAGTCTTTGACTTGGACCAACCAGCCTAATGTTATCCAATACTAGTATGTAAAGTTATGTTTGGTCTAGTCCAACCAGCTAACCATCCAGCCAAACAAACAAAGAAACAAACTCACACTGTGAGCGAACAGGTCAACAAACATACACATACCAGTTTAGTATAGTAAAGCCAAGCCCATCATTGATCATTGGTAATTTTATTTACAAATTCAATCATTTGATTGATTGACCTAATGTAGTATTAATTAAGGTCGACCATAATGAAAGTTATTATCTTTAGTTTAAACAACACACAATCATTTTCATTCAAAGTCTTCAACACCTCTTGGATGTTAGATTATTAGATTGATTGATTGATTGACTATTGTTAGAACTGGAAGGGTTGCGGTTGTTGGGAGTTTTGACAGGCCAGACGCGATCTTTATCGTAAAAATTTTGTGTTGCAAAAAACAAACACACAAATATTCAAAACTGTTGTTGTTGTCATCTCTGTTGATGTGTATGTGTGTGTGTCTGTTTGTGCGTTGGCACCTGCTTTGTTTGTGACACCTTGACAATCTCCCTCTTCTTCTTCTCTATCTTGTTGGACAATAGACTTGTGAATTTCCAGAAACTGAGGACCTTGTCCCCTCACTCATTCATTCACCTCACATCACAATACTTTATACATTTGTTAATTATATATCTTAAATCTTTTATCTATTCATTCATTCACTTTCATTCATTTAATAATCACACGCAAATACGCACCATTCCATACACGTACATTAATCAACTCAACTATTATAGCATTACAAAGACAGACAAACAAACAGAGTTGTAGGCAGTAGTAGTAGTAGTAGCAAGTAGTAATAGGTTCTCTCGAGTCTGACACACATACACAACAAACAGTCACTTCACCATCAAAGTTATAATCACAGAGATAATCCAAATATGGCCACGATGGAGCAGCGTACCAAACAGCTAGAATCTATGTTGAATGAGTTCTTTGCTCTAGATGGCAACAACCCAAAGAGAAAAGAGATAGGTATGTTTGGTTTGAATGTACTCACCTCAGTGTCAATAACAACATCAACTTACTAACTTGTTTGATTGATTGATTGATTGATTGATCACACATACTACACATAGATATGCACCTGACCAACTACAAGGCGCAAAAGGACTCTTATGAACATGTAAAATACTACTTAACGCATACCTCTAGTCAATACGTCTATTGGTTCTCATTGTCGATTTTGGAGGACAAGATAACCAAGTCATGGTCGACCCTGTCCAATCAGGAGCAGAACGACACAAAGATATTCATCTTTGATCTCTATCTCAACAACAAGGTGTGTAGCTACAGGATGCAGGATTAAGGATGCAGGGTGGAGTGCGAGCGTGAGTGGATGAGCAGCAGGAGGAAGGTGAAGAGTGATGAAGGAGCAAGGGAGCAGGAATGATTCAGATGAGCAGTACGACGACATGTCACGTGACTTCAACTTTGTGGATTACTAACATCAACTTCATCATTCGACTAGACTCTACCACAATACATTACAAAGAAGCTTGGACAGGTCATTGCAGACATTGGTCGAATTGACTTTTATCAAAGCTCTCATGAGTACATCATCAACATATCAAACTTGGTCAGGGTATGTATTCGATTGCCAACTGATCGATCGATCGATTTGATCACGCCTCTAACCCATCCACTCACGACGATCAATGAACTACAGAACCCACAGACTAGCGTCAAGGGTATCAATCTGTTACAATATATATCTGAGGAGTTCATGACCACTAAGGAGGTCTTGTCACAGCAGTCAAAGGATCAACTCAAGAAGCTGTTGCTCGAGCAGGTGCCGACGATCATCGATGTGCTCACCAAGTACCTCGATCAACTCTTTGTCCAGAACGCCCACAAGAAGCTCAAGCAGGAGAACTCTCTACCATTCCAAGTCGGCTCGCCCGACACCAACACATACACAGGCAGCTTCAGCGTTGAGACCAAGAACCAGACCAAGGCAGTGTTTGGTATGTATCCATCCCCATGATCATGTGGCGACCATCACTCACTCACTCACTCATACTCAATCAATCAATCATACACATTAGATGCATTGCTAAGTTACTTCTCATGGATACCATTGAATGAATTGTTGACTCCATCATTGTTGGATACATTGTTCAAGTATCTGAGACTGGAGAAGAGTAGCATCCCAGCACTCACATGTCTGAACGAGATACTGTCAAAGAATTGTGTGCCAAAGGAGTTTGAAGAGTTCCTCGTGCGCATCTTCCGTCAGATATACTCGCTGATGACAGATATCACGACGGCCAACAACATCTCGCAGCAGTACACGCCCGAGTTCATCGAGAAGTTCACGCAGTTCATCCAGTTGTTTGTGTCCAATCACCTGAGACGCGTGGAGTCCAACCCCAACTTCCCCATCACAGACTTCCTCGGTCTTTTCTTCCAATACACATTCATGCAGCAGTCGGTCGAGGCGTTCAAGGTGTGCATGGACATATGGATGACGTTCCTCGAGTATTTGCACTCGCAGACGATCGAGCAGGGACTGCCCGGCCCCACCAAGTACACCGATGGCATGATCCTGCTTCAGTTGGAGTTGGTCAAGCGTATCCTCAACGCCTATAACAACCAGTTGTCGCAGTTGGACGACAATGAGGACATTGACAACGACATGGAGACCATCCTCTCGCCACGCGCCCAGTTCATCAAAGACTGCATTGAGACCATCACCAAGATCACTGAGATCTATCCAAACAAAGGATTGGAGAGTCTGGTAAGCATCAAATCAAGCATTCAATCAATCATTCAATCAATATTACTCACATACTAACAATACCAACATCACTCTAGTATCCTTTGTTCTCTCAGAATGTAACAGCATTCTTTGGAAAGGCTGAGGAGATGATCTCACAGGGTATGATCGATCAGAATGATACCAAGCTCAACCAGATGGTACAGGACGTCACAACCATTCTACAACTGTTTGCTGGTTTTTCGCATCAGTTTGTAGCACTCTTTGTACAGACCTTTACCGCTGGCAACTTCATCTTCCAAAAGATGATCGACATGTGTAGATTCCTCACCATCAACACTACTCATCGATATGGCGAGGATTGGGAGATGCTGTAAGTCCCTCAATCACTCGCTCACTCAATCAATCAACTTATCTAACCAACTCACTTCGCGCCACACACATCCAACAGTCAAGTACAGATACTGAGTACACTGCGATCGTTTAGTTATTGGTTGTCAGAGTATGGATCTCAGGTGCGAACATCCCCTAACCAACAGCCAGACTTTGACACCCTCATTCTGAGACTGATCAACATTATCGTGCCATTGTTTGATCGCACTGTGCCCGAGAAGGTATCCATTGAGGCTGGACACCTGTTGACCTCCATCGTCTCCATTGCCAAGCCACTCAACCTCCTCAACCAGATGGATGCCGTCATTGGCAACATCCACAACATCTGCACACCTCTACCGCCTGCCGTCCAAAGCATTATTTATTCAGCCATCTCCAACACCATACTCATACCACCATCGAATGTAAATTTAAGCCATCAAGTAAGTATCTCAATCACCCAATCGCACGACCATGATCACTTACACTCAATCAATTATTCATCATCAGTTTGATATTAGGAGACCAAAGTACTCCCCATTCATCAAAGGAATCACATGTCAATATCTGGAGATCCCTCAGATACAGGGATTCATTGATAACAAGCTGTTCAACAAGGAGGAGGTCATTCAGAGAGTGCAGCGCGTGCTCAAGATACTGGCCGCCATCATAAGGTCAGTTCCYGACTCTAACCAGGCCAAGGGCATCCTGCATGATGCCATCCAGGACACATTGCCCGTCACCCTCGTCATGTTCAGGATCTACGTTAGCAACGCGGACATCCTAGAGTCGATCCTTGACTTCTTCTTCACATTGTTCGAGTCGCTAAAGTCCAAGGTTGGTGTGACATTCACTCAACAAACCATAACGTAAGTGACTAGCCCTGCCCTCACTATCCAAGCTCACTCACTCACTCAATCACTCACTCACTTACAGAACATTCTTGGAGATATTGGGTGGCGACAACATCAAGCAACTGCTGGTTGGTTCAAATGAGACGGGCAAGGTCATCATTCGCAAGTTGATCGAGATTCTTACATTTGTGATTCAGACTTATGGCCACTCATTCGAAACATTGCTCTCATCGATCATCAACTTTGCCATGGAGAAGATCTACCCAGTGATCATTGAGTCAGACTCGCAGCTGAGGCCACTGTTCTTCACATTGCTCTTCTCGATTCTCGACAATCATTGGCGACAGTTCTTCCCATCGACCACCACCAACTCAGCGGCCAATGCGCTGATGCTCGGTAACACTAGTATCAGTAATAGCATGGTTAGCAACAACAACAATAATAATAATACAAACAACAACAACACCAACAACAATAACGCCAACAACAATAATAACAACAACAACACAAACACAACATCACAACAACAACTTAATGCCATCATGGGTGCATTCCAGACGACCTTCCAACAGAACGATGTAAATTTATTCAAGCAGAACCTGGACTACTTTGAGAAGCTCAATCACAAGCACAAGCTCTACGAGAGGATCGCGATGCAGGAACCAATCTTTGGATGCTCCTTTGTTGGTGTCTTCTTTGACGTGCTCATCTCCAAAGTCCAAAGTGTCCAGGCTGAGGACATCATCAACACCATCTACCACTTTGCCTCTGTCAACTTTAACAAGTTCTTCAATGAGGTAGGTCCAGCAATAAGTTACAAGGTCAGACAGGACAGGCAACTAACCAATACACATCAAACAATAACAGTTCTTTACAGCATATTTGTCACAAAAGGCCAACTTGACGAATGAGCAAAAGATGTCGATTAGGACTCAGTTCAAGGAGGACAAGGATCATCCAACGTTCAACAGACATATGGCACAGTTTGTCAATGACTTTGCTTATTATACATACATCAACAATTAGATGTGTCCCGTGTCGCGTCAAGGTACCATCACCTCTAGTTTTTAGACATTCATACATACGTGCATACATTATTTATTCAAAACATCATCAACAACCAACAATCAACAACAACCAACAACTGTCCAACAACAACAACAACATACACAATCATCCCATCAATATATATAAATACATATCCAACCTTATTTATTTATAACAAAGACTCGACTGGTCAATAATAACAATAATTTCCATCCATCGTCCAACAACAGAATAACATCAACCAACAACGTCATCAACAATCATCAACAACATCGATAATAACAGAAAATAGTAACATAATTAGGCCAACAACATCTCAGTAATACTGGTGTTGTTGTTGCCAAAGTAATAATAATAAATTGGACAACTCAAACCATCAGCATAACTAATGACTCATCTTTGCATAATGGAAATATTGAATTGAATAATTATTAATTAATTTAAATTGTTCTATTATTCAACAACAATAATATTAAATCTCAATCAATTAATCTATCAATCATACAACCAATCTATCTATTATTCGATCAAGATGGATAACTTTTTTAAACATCTCCTCTTACTATTTCTTGTCATCTACTTCATTATGAAGATGACATGGTTTGGAGTTATAATAATTGGAATGATATTGGCTTCAATTAATAAAATTAATAATCAAACAATAGAAAATAATTATGACAATAATAGGATTATTGAGGATACCAAGCTTTCATAGGAGTAGTAGTAATAATATTCGGTTCTTCACTCTTAGAGTACCATTTATTCCATTAGTACACGGTTGCTGGATGCAGCTGCCATACCACCGTTAAGCATGAATGTATAGAATTTGTAGGTCTCCTCTCTTTGTTTCGTGCCATAATTACCAAGATACTGATTGTCCACTGGAACAATGTGTGACTTGTACTGTCTCTCTTTCATTTTCTCCAAGAAATAGCTTACGCCCTAGGGTCGTACATTATGACACATTAGTTCCAATATCCTTCCACTCTCCATTCACGTCAATAAACTTACATCTCTATCATCGGACAATATCTCATAAAATACACCATCTGGCTTTAAGTACTTCTCGATCACTTTGATCAAGTTGTCCACGCTCAGCAAGCTGTAAGTGAGCTCACTTCCAAATATAATGTCATATCGCTCATCATCTGCCACTTGTATCTTTGTGTGAGGTCGGCATGGGTACCATGGTGTGAGTCTAAAGCATGTCCTGTCCATCCCATCATGATGTTGAATGGTACCTACATTATCAATTTCATCCCAGTTCAAATACTTTATCTCTGTCTTTGACTTGATGTCCATCATTCTAGCATTGACCCTAGCGGCCTCCTCATCATCAGCATCATCGCCATCCAATGTCTCTTTCTTTGAGTTCATATCAACGTTGTATTGGAGGTTCTCAAGCAGCTATCAATGGTATGTATGTTAGTCGACGGAACTATTCCCAGGGTAGGGTATCATACTCACAGGTGGTAGATAATCAGTCAATGTGATACGATCACAGTAGTGTGCGGCGAGAATACCAGGCAATCCTACGCCACTGCCTAGCTCGAGTACCCTCTGTCCCTCGAAAGCTTGTGTATGTTTGTAAATCCATCTAGACATGATGATGGCTGCATCCCAAATTGCACATCCAATTCCTCCTTGTATGATTGACATCTCTCTTATGAAGCTATTGATGGGACAGAGCATGAGGTCAGTGGCTGACTGGCTAGTTGACCACAACACTGAACGAATGATTGTATACACCTACATCTCCTTCTCATACTCCTTCTCTCTCTTGTCATATTTGCCAAAGCCAACTGTCTTTCTCTTGTAATGGTTCGCACCCAATGCGTACTCCTTCCAGTTGATGTTCAAATCACCATTCTTTTCTCTTCCGTTCAACATCTTTATCTGTATCTATCTTTATCTGTTTGAATAAACTAAAGTGAGATTGAGTGGAGAATGAATCGTTTTTCGTCTTTTTTGATGGATTCTTCGTTTTTTTTTGCACAAACACTCAAACAGAAATTGATTGGCGCCACAAACATTGATGATGAAGGGCAAACAACATGATGAAGTGCATAAGATTGTTTACAACATCATTCTTCCCCTCTCGAACAACATATACTATTACATCAATTAGAAGATACACAAGCATGAGTGTAGCGACTACGACCTCGACCACGACTATAACTACAAACACAACATCTATCAATGATGACTTTGTGACAATGGACACTTGGGAGTCAATAGAGTTGAATGGCAATCTATTGGACTTGAGAAAGACACTGCTTTCAGGTCAATGCTTCAGATGGAGACGATTGAATATTGATGGTCAACAACAACAACAACAACAATATGGTCCAGATGATTGCTGGGCAGGTCCACTCGACCATCATTTGGTCATATTGCGTAAAGTCAATGACCAACTACAATACAAGTTCATCGATGAGTTGAGACGAATCAACAATGATAATGGCCAATTCAATCAACAATCACGTAGTCAACGCATCTCTGACTACTTTAACCTTGGACACAATCTTACATCACTGTGTAAGCAGTGGGCGACGGGCGATCACTCATTGAACAAACAGTTTGCTACTGTGTGCACTGGCTTTGAAGGACTACGTTTGTTGCGCCAAAGCCCACTCGAGTGTCTGTTCAGCTTCATATGCTCACAGAACAATCACATCAGTAGGATCACAAACATGGTCCAGTCACTGTCCAAGTTTGGTCCGATCATCACTAGCCACGCGGGAGTGGACTTCCATCGATTCCCATCACTCGATCAACTTGTCCAGATACAACAAAAACAACTCGATGATCTTGGCTTTGGTTATCGATCAAAGTTCATCGTCAAGGCTGCTCAGCAAGTACAAGAGAAGGGTGGTGATCAATGGTTACTCTCACTTCGCACTCAATCACATGAGGTCGCACAACAACAGTTGACCTCACTCATGGGCGTAGGACAGAAGGGTATGTCCGTTGATTGTTTGATTGGCGATTGCCGAAACAATCAAATGTACTAACTTAATCAATCAATTTAGTTGCTGACTGTGTATGTCTGTTCTCATTGGACAAGCTGGACATTGTACCAATCGACACACATATATTCACTATATCAAAGAAACACATGCCTTCGTTGGCCAAGAAGACATTGACTCCAAAGATATACCAGGATATAAGGATGTTCTGGAAGGAGCGATTCGGTGATCATGCAGGCTGGGGACACACTATCCTCTTTGCCAATGAGATTGCAGAGTTCAAACAATCAAATGGTGTCCAGGGTGCTGCCAAGGGTGGCAAGCGAGGCAAGAGTGCCAAGAGTAACAAGGCTAGCAACAAGAAAAGATCACAGGATGATGATGATGAGGAGGATGATGAGGAGGAAGAGGAAGAGGCAGAAGATGCACCAGACGAGGCACCAAAGTCAAGTATTAGTAGCATTACAGGTCGAACAAGAAGAGCAACAAAGAAGGCAAGATCATAAACCCGCCCATCAAAGGTCGATCACGATGTATTATATATCTATCCAAGTTGTTGTAGCTTATTGACGATGTGACGATTCTGTCGCTTGGTCGCTGCCTTTTGACGTGCAAAGATGAAGATGGCTAGCACAACTGCAACGACCACGGCACATGCTACAACAGCCACCACTATAATCTTCCATGTGGCCCATGTTGGTCCACCTTGATCACCGCACTCGGCAACACTATCGGCATCTATAAGTACTGTCACATCTGGATCAAATATGCACTGAGAGCATTGAGCCACTGTCAGACCGATGAGTGTGGAGGTGTCAGTTGCTTTGATGATCTCATTTCTTGTATGTGTTGGACGGCCATCCGCCATGGCTACTGGGAGGAATCTGCCAGAGTATACCAAGCCATCATTCGTCATGGTGGTGAAGAGAATGTCATCTCCATTGGGCTCATTGTAGTTCGTTGTCTTGCCTCCACACTTGGTATCAGGCGAGCGTCCTCCTGATTGGCCGCCTTTCAGCTGGGTGCTGAACACTACACGAAGTGAGTTGAGGTTAGACTTGTATCGCCAGCCATTGATATACACAGTCATCTTGAGTGAGTTTGGCGGGTAGTAGTATGATTGCCCAGCGAATTGGATTGTTCTGGCAACTGATGAGCTCTGGTATAGGACTGACACTGACACCTCATCATCAACACTAGTACCATTTGAGTATCGATATTGGTGGGAGATCACTGAATCATTGATCCAGGTTGAGTAGTACCATTGATCAAAGATGTCTATGCTCTTGATGATTGAACGGTCAATTGATATCTCATGGATTGATTCAAGGTTCAATTCGAAATGTGTCGTTTGTGATACGACTACTGCCACTGATGGAGAGTCATTGTTGGCATATACTGTTGAATTTGAAACAACTTGTGATTGACAGTATGATCCTCCAAATCCATTGTTGCAAACACATCCGCCATCAACACAGGTTGCACCATTTTGACAGTTGATTGATGAACATGGATCGATTGAATCATCTGTTTGAGCAGGTGAGGTGAATGTAAGTAAGTATAATAGTTTGATAACATTGTTACGTACAGAAGGAGACAATGTTGTCCGAGATGAAGGAGACACCATTTATCTGTATGAATAGTCTTGCTGGGCCTTGAGGGTTTGGTCCAACTTTGCATTTGATCGAAGTAGGAGTAGCAATAATGTCTTGACAAGAATGATCATTGATCAACAATGTGATATTGCCAACCTTTCCAAAGTAACCTTTGATCTCAATATCACCACCATCAACTGTCACTCTTGATGCAGACAATGCCAAAGACTTGTCTTGAATATTGAAATAAGATCCACTTTTTGAGTAGCCCATGATTGTGAGTAACCTTTGTGTTGCCATGATTGATGGAGTCAAGATGTAATTATCAATTTCACAAATGTAGCTTGTGTTTGTACGCTCCAATCTATCACAAGTAATGTTATCAACTAGTACATCATCCAATCCAGTACCAATTGAGTAGTCTCCAAATGATTCAACATGTAATGTTCCAAATCTATAACTTGCATCCACAATCTTATCAATTCTATCTATTGTTATCCATGATATTGTGACATTATAACCATAATACTTTGATAATACCAAAGTGTCCTCACCGTTTGGCTTCGATGGGACATAATGGAAACGAGTGTTTGGGATGTCCATAAAGAAGTTACTCGGTGCACTCTCTGACTTATCACCATAACCAAGGTTGGTGCCTGTAATTGTAATGTTCTCTCCGGGGAACCTTATATAGAATAACTTGTCCAAAGTGTAGTCTGATAATGATGTGATCGAGATATGTTAATAGTATATGACCATCAAGAGAGATATTGTAATCCACTACTTACTGCATTTGAAATTCATTGGTGCTGGAAGGTTGTTGGATACATCGCCAACATAGTAGAAGTAGCAATAGAAGCATTGTGGGATGTAGGTGATATCAGTACCTTGAAACTTGACTTCATAGATCTCACAAGCAGCCTCAGGCAATGGACCCGTGATAAAAGGATTCTCTTGTATATGAAGTACTCTTGGATGTAGAGATGTGTAGTCTGGAAGTATACCAGATATATTGTTTGTCTCAATATGGCTGAGTGGAAATATATTGTGTAAATATGTGATTGAATGATTGATTGATTGATTGATTGGAGCTTGTAACATACATTTCTCCATAAGGCTTCATCCATTTGGTTGAAGGGAACTTGGTAAGGAATCCATTATTAATTGCACTTTGTTATTGAACGGTTAATAATTGATTGATGGATCGACAAAGGTGTACTTACAGGTAGCCTAGAGGAGGGAGGTCGGTAATAAGATTAATGAAACTTCCAAAGCTATAGTCGGATGTAAGGTTAGGTGGAGAGTTGGGGGATGATGAGGATGGATTGTGACCCAACTTACAAACTTGATAGACTAGTCAAATGTGCCAGATTGGTTGGTGAGATTATGAATCCAACCAAAGTCATATCACCTAGCAGTGGTGCCTGGATAATATTGATTTTGTTTGGTCTTGCAGATGCATCCAGGCTAGTTAACTCACTAATTTAATCATTGTTGTTAATATTTTATCATGATGGTTGATGATTGAATGAGTAGCTTACAGTCTATTGATTGAGATTGAGTCGAGAATATAATTAAAAGGTTGATTGGTGGACATTATGCTTAAATGAATGAAAGGTTAGTATTGATTGGTCAAGTTGATTGACTGATTACTTACAGGTACTCAAGTTTGGGGAATATTGTTGAAGTAATGTTGAACTGTGAGAATGGAGTATTTGATGGGTATTCCATATACATAAACTCAGTGCTGTAGTTCTTAGTGGATTGGAATATAACAGAGTGACTAATGTTTACAAATGTTAAATTCCTCAGTGTAACATATGTTGCATTTGGAAACATTAACAAGTCTGACATCATCTTGATATTGTACAGTTCACTAAATTATTGATTGGTTGGTTGATTAAGTTAGTGAGTATGTATGATTGATATGATGAAGGAGGTTTAATTTCATACAATCTACCCAAAGGTCTAAGGAACTTTGGAAAATCTGTTTGGAATCGGAGAGAAAGCCCATCAAGACTGGATAATTGATTGATTGAACGACGAGGTTAGTTAATGAATAAATTGATTGATAGGGATGGACATACCCAAGAGTGTACATATTAACATTGTTGATGTTGTCCAAAAGATCAATCAAATTGGCTGTTTGGTTGGCAACAACTCCCTTGTCAAGAGTGATTGATAGTTCATCTAATCTAGGGAAATAAAGATATGGTATGCCACCTGGGGATCCATTATTTGTTCCTGTAGATGTAATAGTTCTAGAGAGGCATATTGTATTATGTTAAGGATGAATAATTCTTGATAAGTTGTAGTTTATATATACATACATTGTTATAATATCCGATCCGTCACACTTTAGAGTGTTGACAGAGGTGGTGGCAAAGGAGGCACATTCAGTTGCAGCCAAGTTCCAATTGTTCACCTTGTATTGTTTAGCCAACCATATTAATGAAGTCACTAAAATAAATATGTTAGGAAAGTTATGAATGATTGAGGATCAAACATACATTGTGATGGTTCAATAGCTTGTGCTTTAGAAACTCCTACGACTATACTTAGCAAGTATACTATTGATATCACCAATACAGGAATATTGATTGATTGACGTGCCATTGAAGTGGATCTTATCTTATTCGATTATTATTATTATTTGTCTTTTTGAAATGTCAGGACTTCCTCAAAGAGACAGACAGTACATAGGTGAGGTATCTTTGATTCTTCAAGTTCACAGTCATCCGAAGACTGAATCTAGGATTTAATATCTTGTGCTTACTCACTCAGGGATCAACGTGAAGTACCCGAGATATTTGTTCCGTTTCAAACAGTTGAAATATCTTTTTGATGGTTCATCTTTATCTTTGCGCCCCCTCTTTGTACCAACTTCCCAACAAGGTCCTTCCCAGAACCAAAGTTGACCGATGATTCCGAAGGGTGTCAAAGTGGTGTCATTAGTCAAAGTTTGTGATCTACATACTATCTTTGTTGATCATCAAATAGTTAGTCTATATTATTTGATGATCTATTATCTGTTTATAATACAAAATATATATATCTGTTTGTTAAAAAAAGTATGAATTGTTTTTTATTTTAAAGTTGCCTTGGTGTAGTGACTTACTCCACGATCTTCATCTTGTTAGTAGAATCCCACACACTACCATAAAAGGTAATGTTTAGGACACAACGTTTGTTTTACACACCACAATAGATAGAGTGTGTGTTTAGATGGAGAGAGTTGTGGTATCACCCATACTCTTGGGGTTCTCTCGCTCATATTCAAAAATAAGGTTGTTGCAAGTAGGCTAAGGATACCTGATTCATTCATTGATATAGAAGTAATACCTATAAAGATAAAGAATAAGGAATATTAATAACAATGGTTTATAAGTACATGGTTTGTGTGGATGGATCAGATGTGAATGATAGAGCATTCAAATGGTATGTATTATTCATTCATTTACAAAAGATGATGAAGATCAATTATTCATTCAACGCAATATATATATATAAAGGGCAATGGCACAGGCTATACTTGATGAAAGAAGGACAACACAATTATTTATTGTACATATCGTTGACAAGATGAGAGTAGGAGTGTGCGATAAATACCTAGAACAGAGGAAGGAGTTGGGTATTAAAGGAATGGAGGCCTATACCAAAGAGATGGAATCAATGAGGGTATGTAATTTGAACAATGGATTGTCACGCCGTGCAGATTGATCTATGATAGCCCAGCTCTAACAATCCATTGTCCATCTTATCATCCATACATCCATACATCCACATTCATACATACATATTATACAAACATACATTCATTCAATATAGATACCATTTGATGTGGAAGTGATCGAGACGACCAGGTCTACAAATCAAGTGATATGCGAGTTTGCCGAGAAACACAAGGTGGATATGGTATGTATGGGGGCATTAGTCATGGATCTGATTCAACACCGACAATGATCGAAGAATAACATGGGGCTGTTACTAACTCATTGCTCTCTACTGGGTGGATAAACCGAATCATAGTTGATCGTTGGACATGATATTGAGAACAAGCCAATCTTACATAGATTGCTTGATGGACATCATGATACATACGAATATGCTGTAAAGTGAGTGATGATGATTACTGCAAAGGGGGTCGTGCAGTTAGAACTAATCAATCAACATCTCATCCACACCATAGACACGCCAACTGTCCAGTACTAGTCTTTAAGTAATGCAGTCTACATGCATGAATGAATGTTCTTGTTGTTGTTTGTTGGATGCTCTATAATGTCAATCAAATCATCTTTGGCGGCGCATCACTGGTGTGATCACAATACTGTTGGATATTCAAGCTGGATCGCTTACCTGGACATGGCACCAATGAACACGCCAGCTATGCGAGAGACTTTGACTCGCGGGCATTTTGCACTATATACCAACCTTGCTGCTTTCGTGAGCCTTTATTGAGTGATGAGAAAGTGATGAAGAGAGCTGGGGTGGAGAGATTGTTGGGAGTGATGATGATGTGATGGACGTGACGCGGATTGATGAAGTGTAGTGATGTGATATGTGAACGTGATGATAATGATGATGGGATGGGTAGGGAAAGGAGTTTGGGATACCAACCGGATAGCAGTCTCTGCTATGTGTGTGTGGAGCACAACAGGAGGGGAAAGGATGATGATCATTAATATAACGTTTCAACGATACCTACAAAGCCTACCTTTAGAGGATATCCTTGTGTATGTTTGAAGCAACCTTGTGAGGCGTGCATTGTACAATGAATGTACATATAGTGTAACCTTACCTTATTCATTACCGATGAGTTATGTTTGTTGATTGATTGGTTGATTGATCCATCCATCGTTCCTTCCTTGGCTTGTCCATGTCAATGATGTTGTTGTTGGTTCACACATTACGCGAGGATGATCGCTCACCACTTGCTCTCTTGATCAGCTGGCCAGTCGATTGATCAATATTCTCTGTCGCGTTCTCTCTCCCTTCCGCCACTGCTTCCACCGCCACGATGTCCACCATCGTGATCGTGTCTTCTGTAGTCTCCTCCACTTGACGATCTGCCTCCTCTGTCATCTCGGCTGCCACGATCATCGCGATATCCACCTCCGCCTCCTCTGTCGTCTCTGCTGCTGCTGTGTCCTCCTCTGTCGCGATCGTCTCTGCTGCCGCGGTCTTCTCTTCCACGGTCATCTCTGCCGCCGCGATCACCGCCACCATCTCTGCTGCTGCTGTTGTAACCTCCGCCGCTGCTGCTGTCTCTGCGGTCGTAGCCGCCTCCTCCACTGCTGCCATTGTCTCTGTTGCTACTATATCCTCCTCTTTCACTTCTGTCTCCTCTGTCTCCGCCACCGCCGTACGAGCCTCTTGACTCGTGGCCACCTCTGTCATCTCTGCGTTCATAGCCGCCGCCACCACCGCCACCACCTCTGTCGCCGCCACTGTATCCTCCACGGCCACCTCCCGACGGTCTGTCATAGGGACGTCTATCACGGAATCCAGAACTGTTATCTCTGCGCTCTGGGCCACCACCTCGCGATTGGAAAGATGGTCGACCGCCACCACCACCACCACTGCCTCTCTCTTTCTCCATTTCCTCACGACGCTTATCCATCTCGCGCTTCTCATTAAGCTCACGGCCTGAGAATGTCTGATTGACATCTGGACCACCCAGTCTTGTGTTACCGAGTCCACCTCCAAACTTCCTTGGCTTCCAATTCTTAATAACTCTTCCTCTCTCAATGTCGACCAACATTCTCCTGTCCTCCAACTTCTCACCATCAGCTAACTTGTATGCGTCTACAATTGAGTGAGTAAGTTAGGTTAGTATGTTGATTGATTGATTGTGATTGATTGATTGAGTTGATGTGCATACTCTTCATATCTCTCTCCTTCTCAAACTCGATGAAGGCGTAGCCCTTGGACTTGCCCTCCTGGTCAGTCACCAGTCTTATCTTCTTTATGGGTCCAAACTGTTCAAAGTACTCGGTAAGTTGTTGTTCAGAGGTTTTGTAGCTGATCCTCGAGACGAACAATGTCTTGTAAGGGTCACCTGTCGACTTGGTATTTGAATGAGGGTCCCCTATTCATATTAAAATTGATTGATTGTTAGTTAATGGTTAATGCTTGATCAACATCGATGTCAACAACATACATTGCTTCAAAAGTTTCTGATTCTTCTCATTATTCTGTAGTTGTATCTTCTCTCTCTTCTCTCTGTCTACTTTATCACGACTGATTAGGGGTGCAGGTGGCACTGCATCTGTTGAACCAGCATTCTTGAACTCCTGTAGGAATGATGATAGACCAGAGTAGTTCTGTAGCTTTGGTATTTCAGGTGGTGGCATAAATGGCAGAGGAGGCCTAGCCGCAAACATCATCAACAAGTTTGATGGTAAGAATGATGCCATGGCTTGTCTATATTATCCTGTATCCTCCTACTCTAATATTATATATATTATATATGTATGTATCGTGAAGTGAATGAATGAAGTTGAATGAAACATCACTTTTTTTGAAGTGTGAGAAGTCATGTGCTCTTTGATGAAAAAACTTCAAGTCAAGACGCTCAATCAGCAAGTCAAACTAGTTCCTCTTACTTGTCTTTACAACTGGAAAGAGTTATCCACCCATCTACTATCCAATATGGAAATTTCCATTATTATTAATTGGACTCAGTTTATCCTATTATTAATCAAACGTTATCATCATCAAACTAACATTGGAGTACCCATGGATGATATTTATACGTGTAGAAAAATAAAAAAAGAGAGATGGAGGAGATATAATTCGAAAGAGAGAATAAGATCTAATAAAGATACTTCACGCCAATCTGTAAATATAAATATATATTTCTAATTTTGATGGTGGAATGCTGGCGATTGGCATAACGTGATCATTGATTTATGTTGGGCAGTTGGAAAACAAACAAAACAATTCAATCTCACAGTGGCTCAACTGACAATCAATCAAAGAGAATCAAAAAAACAATCAAACACACACAAAAACAAACAAAGACTTGCATCGGATTCTTCTTCTCTTTCTTTCTGTTCGATGACGATGCCAGCCTAAAAGTTTGAATGAATTGTATGAATGAATGGATGGATTCCTTTCACAATGATCTTGCACCCCAATTGGCCCAGGAGTGTGTGTCGGACAATGACAAACCTTCTCCTGCCCCTCTCCCTGTGTATTCATCATACTCACAAGAAAGTGGTGACAAATGGCAGGCCATCCATTCATCAACTCCTGTTGTGTACTTACTGCATAGGTTTGGCAGGTAGGCCTTCATCAACAGCATCTATACTTCTCCTCCTCCTCTGTCTCTATCTATCCAATGTGCACACCCACTCCAATCACTAACACCTCTCTCATCCACAAACATAGAGTGAGCGCACCCCTTGCCATTAACAACTTACTTACTTTTAAGTGTAGTCACCTTGTACTACTATTTATTTATTATTATTCTTAAATACCTTTCTTCTTCAACAACATCCAATCACACTCTTCTAAGCCCAATCGACAACGAACCTATACACAGACACAACAACAACAAGGTCTATAGACATCATTGACCTTAGAAACAGAGAGATAGAGGGTGAGGTGGAGAGACAACATAGAGAGGTCGTTGTTGATCTTGAGAACTAGCAAGTAGTAGTATAGTATATCATACTTTGTATAAATAATTTAATATTAATAATTATAATTATAAATAATAATAAGGAAGAAGGAAAGTATGAATAATGATGATCCACCTGTCCAAGAATGGATAGATGAATGTAGTAATAATATTAATAATAATAGTAATAATGTAATTGTACCAATATATAATAATGGATATGATTATGGTGATAAGGACAAACTTCCATTGGACCGTGTTGTCGATGACAACTACAATGACAAACTATCCTCGGAGCATGATCCTTTGATCAAAAAAGGGAATAGTGATGCATTGGACGCCGGACCGATCTGGCGCCAGGCATTCTTCAAGGACAAGGTGATGATCAATGTGTTCTTTGCACTTGGCATGTGCACCGTGGTCATGTCCGGACTGATGCTGCCACTGGTCTTTACCGAGTATGTCAAGTATCACCATCCAACTTATACCAGCCAGCAGGTCGAGAGTGAGGCTGCCCATCTAAAGTCCATCGCCGACTCCCTACCCTACGTCGCCAACTTCCTGCTCTCACCCCTGCTCGGCATGATGTCTGATCGCATTGGACGCAAGTGGATCATGGCACTCATCCAACTACTGCAGATCATTGACATGCTGATGATTGGCCTGGCCAGCTGGAAGAAGGTGATCATCCCGCTGTATATCAGTCACTCGCTGGCCGGTGTCTCCAACGGAATGATCTCCATCGTGTTCTCCTACCTGGCAGACATCACGACCAAGGCCGAGCGCGCCACCTGGTTCATCATCGTCGGCACAGGCATGGGCATATCACTGGCGGGCAGTCCTCTTATTGAGATCCTCTTCCTCAAGTTCTCATTCAATGTGGCCGTGTTTGGAAACATTGGCTTCTTGATTGCGGGCATGTTCTGTCTGCTGCCCATCGTCAACTCACTTCACTACTCTGAGGGTCGACTCAAGCCGGCCAGCGCCAACCTTGTAAAGGCCAACACCAACCCATTCAGCGCCATCCTCATGCTGTTCCGCTCGTCCAAGTACATCATCTTTTACGCCCTACTCAATCTATCATTCAACTTCACGCTTCAAGATACCCTCACCACATCATTCTACTACACCCAACTACGCTATGGCTGGATTCCCTGGCAGTGTGCCGTTAGCACCAGTCTCATTGGAGTGGCCGTGTTTGTGTGGAGTGGCATTGCCATACCCTTGCTTCTTAGGTGGTTCTGTAAGTATATGCTCTGGATGATCATCCATTGGCCTCACCGCACCAGCTAACTAACCCTTGACCCTCGACCCAACTTGTAGCCGAGCGACTATTGGTAGTTGTGTGCTTCTTCTGTAGTGCGACATTCCACATTGCATACACGTTTGCATTCGATCAGTACATGTGGCAGGTGTCTATATGCCTTGGATCATTCAGTTTGGTTATCATCAATCTTATTCAATCAATCATATCAAAAGCCACCCCACCCGATATCCAGGGCACGGTGCTCTCGGGTGTGTCATCACTGGCGTCGCTGGGCGCTGCGGCTGGATCCTACTCTTCAGCCAACATATTCGCCTACTTTATCAGTTCAAGCGCACCATTCTACATGCCTGGCATGCAGTTCCTTGTCAATGCAGTCCTGATCTACATCACATGCATACTCTCACTGATTGTGTACAAACGAGTACCTGAGCCCAGACCACGAAGCTCGATCATCGATGCCGAGGAGAAGGTTCCAGTCCTATCCATAAATGCATAATCACTTCCATCCTTCATTAGCTTGGGATGAGGATAGTTTATTCGATCAATCGATCATTCATTCATTGTTCCAATAATCTATGTATGAACTGTTGGTTTGGAGAGTGTATGCATCGATCATTCCTTTCTGATACTTGTAGATGTGCTTGGCCAAGTCATGCTCGTTGAACACTATTGCTATGTTGAACATGATTGAAAGGTCGTTGATTGAGTTCTCCAATAGATGATCAAACTTGAACAATCTGAACATTCTAACAACTCCTTCTATGCCAATCTTTGCTGTGAGCTCCTCTGATGGTGCCAAGTGGAGCTGGTCCAATATAAAATGAACTGCTTCCATGTTCATCCTGCCATGAGACGTGAAGTAATGAATAGTAGGCTCCAACGCCTTTGTTCTCCATCCAACATAGTACAGTAACGTACTGAAGATGTCCTTTCCACGTTGATTGTTATTCAGTATTGCATAGTGAGTGTAGACTATAAAGTCCAACTCATTGAGACATACACCAGCGTAGCGATTGAAGAATGATGGCATGTTATTGAGAACAAAGTCAATCTGTTGTGGCTCCATCAATACAAGCTTCTCACGAAGCAATTCTTTTGGGAATATATTGTTGTCGGTGGACATGAGGAAAGCCAACACAAACATTGGAGGCGTCCTCAACAGTGTGATTTGTTTCCTCTCGATCTGTGGAACAATGCCCTGGACAACATCGTGTTGATTGAGATACTTGATGCACTCAAGACTCTTGGTCATGTTATCCGCGTCGACGAATGCATTGTACATGTTGCCAAAGTATGCCAAGCGTTCTAATGGAGCATCTCGGCGTTTGTGCTTGGGTATGAGCTCATTGTCCAACAGACCAATGGCTACAATGAGTTGAGTGAGGTTGCCATGTTTGATTATCTCGTTGACAATGTTCTGCACCTCATGTTTGTGGTAACTCCTCTTTGGATGAATGATCAAGTATGGTAAGAGCATGCAGTCTCCAGTGACAATGTACTCATGTACCATGTATCTATCCAACGGTCTGGTCCTCGATGCGACCATCGACTTCTCCAGCTCACCAAGCTTGACAAAGATCATCCTTTGTTCATCACCAATGTCTGTGTCTTGACGAGTGTAATGCAGCTCATCAGTTAACTTCAAGGCTATACTCTTGGACATTGAGATACGACTGATTGCTTGGTCATTGAGTGTGTCATCAAGTGGAAGCAATCGTTCAAAGCGTTCCAGCTGTTGTGTTGGTGAAGCTGTGATCGGAAGCATCAAGCGGTCTGTGATTGGTCCATTGAATAGTTTTACTCCATCCTTGAACAGAAGTTGATCAATGAGTTGTTGGTCACCCTTAGCCAGTATCTCGGTGACGTACTGACTCGAGCTCCGTTTGATTCGATCGGTCAATGACTGAGGGAAGTTGTTGTCAGGGTTGAGGAGGTATTGAATAGACGATGCTGATATCTTCTTAAATAGTTTCTCCATGTTGATTTGTGACCATTTCCATTGAACATGATAGTAGTGACCAGAGTCCAACAGATACTTGAGCAACTCGTATGATCCACTCTCGCACAGATCTATCAGCCGGGATACATCACGATAAAATATCATCGGTCTTGTTTGTTCCAACAAGATGCCAATCACTTGTTTGTCCTGGACCTCAGATTTGATGGCATTATTGAGTATGTTCTTATGATTGAAGAATGATTGATACTTGTTGTAGACTGCTTTGAAAGTGTCCACATCTATATGTCCATAATCAAACATTGATAGTGCCGTGTACGTTGTGAACTTGATATCATCATTCTGTTTGATTCTATATCGTAATAGACCATGTTGACGATGCTCCAACATTGCCTTTGCATCAGTCCAATCACTATACTTTGAACGATAAGCAGGACAAGGACCCTTCTCATCCTTTGGTCTAGGATTCTCCATCCAATGTATTATTGTACTCTTGTTCACATGACTTAATGTGTGAGATTGGAATATTGTCTTTACCAAAGTACGATTGGTTAGAACTTGAAGGATGACCAAACTATTATTATTATTATTACTATTACTCATTCACTCAATTGACCAATTGGTCATCAATGATTGATCATGTCCCGGCTACGCTGTATTTAATGACTTGTTATTACAAAAGTTATCCAAACAAATTCTTGAAACATTCGCTGAATCAGGTCCATCAGCTCGTAAAAGTGATCAATCAATGTTCCATTTGCTCCAAGTTGACGAGGTCATGTTGAGAGCGCTTGGCTGGACAAGTCCTTTCTGATATTTGAAGATGTGCTTGGCCAAGTCTGTCACGTAGCAGTCAACGGCCAGTCTGAATACCATTGTGAGATCATTGGACTTGTACTCCAAATGATAATCATACTTGTATATTAACAACATTTTGACAACACCTTGTATACCAATCTTTGATAAGAGTACTTGAGCCGGTGCCAAATGAAGTACATGTTCCATTATCACCTTGACAGCATCCAAGTTCATCCTGCCATAAGATATAAAGTAATGTATAGTTGACTCTACAAACTTTGTAAAGTGTTTCCGTGGCAGGTTGTCCAGTATCGATCTGAAGATGTCAATGCCACGGTTGTTGTTGTTGTCATCGTTGTTTAGATTGAGTGATACATAATGTGTGTAGACTATAAGGTCCAACTCATTGAGTCCAACACCTTTGTAGTGATCAAAGAATGAAGGCATGTTGTTGAGAACATAGTCGATCTGTTGCGGCTCCATCAATACAACCTTCTCACGAAGCAACTCTAATGGGAATATCTTGTTGTCACTGGACATGAGGAATGCCAACACAAACATTGGTGGTGTCCTCAACAGTGTGATTGGTTTCCTCTCGACCTGTGGAGCAATGCTCTGGATAACATTGAGTTGATTGAGATACTGGATGCACTCAAGACTCTTGGTCATGTTATCTGAATCGATGAATGCATTGTACATGTCACCAAAGTATAATGAACGATCAGTTGGACGATTGTGCTTGGGTATGAGCTCATTGTCCAACAGACCAATGGCTACAATGAGTTGAGTGAGGTTGCCATGTTTGATTATCTCATTGACAATGTTCTGCACCTCATGTTTGTAATAGGTCCTCTTTGGATGAATGATCAAGTATGGTAAGAGCATGCAGTCTCCAGTGACAATGTACTCATGGACAATGTATCTATCCAACTTTCTGTTCCTCGGTGCGATCATCGTCTTCTCCAGCTCACCAAGCTTGACAAAGATCAACCTTTGTTCATCACCAATGTCTATGTCTTGACGAGGGATCTGGATCGACGCAGAGGAGAGCAAAGAGAGTGCTGCACTCTTGGATGTAGCAATGTGATTGAGTGATCGATCGTGGAGTGTGTCATCTTGTGGCAACAATCGTTCAAAGCGTTCAAGTTGTTGTGTTGGTGAAGCTGTGATTGGAAGCATGAAGTGCGCTGTAATTGGTTCATCGAATTGCTTGACACCATCCTTGAACAGTAGTTGATCAATGAGTTGCTGATCACCTTTGGCCAATATCTCAGGGATGTATTGACACGACTGTTGTTTGATTCGATCGATCAATGATTCAGTGTTATTGTTGTTGGGATTGAGAAGGCATCGAATCGATGAGGCTGATGCCTTCTCGAATAGTCTTGGTATGTTGATACGTGACCAACTCCATTGTATATGATTATAGTGACCAGAGTCCAAGAGGTACTTGAGCAACTCGTATGATTCACGATCGCATAGCTCAATCAAAGATGATACATCGCGTTCAAACACAATAGGTTGTGTCTGTTTCAACAGTATGTCGATAACATGTTTGCTCTGACCAGTCTTGATAGCTTTCTTTAGTATAATATTATGATTGAAGTATTGTCGATACTTGCTATAGACTGCATTGAATGTGTAATCATCAATCTGCCCATATTTGAACAATGATGTTGTAGGAGTATATGACTCAAACTTGATATCATCATTCTGTTTGATTCTATAACGTAATAGACCATAATGATGATGCTTTAACATCGACTCTACATCAGTCCAATCACTATACTTTGATCTATAAGCGGGACAATGTCCAGTCTCATCATTGAGGCGAACAGCACCCATCCAATGAATGATTGTACACTTGTTAACATATCTTAGTGTCCATGAATCTATGATTGTCTTTACTAAAGTACGATTGGTTAGCACCTTTATGATCACCAAACTATTGTTATTATTATTGTTATTATTCATTGACTGTTGTATTTGTCAAAAATATTATACTTTGGTGATTATTATTGTTTGTTGGCAAAATAATTACTTTGTCAATGTGTAAAAAATATTAATTTATTTAATAGAGTAATATTAATTTATTTAATAGAGTAATTAATTATTTAATCAATATTGATAAATAATATTTTTTGTATATAGTTGATTACATAGAAGTCCCCAATAACTAATATGGTTGATTGGTCAAATGCCCATTTTGGATCTACCTTGAAGAATATTTATCATTGATATCTCTTTGACTCCTTGAAAACTAGAGTTCATTTTCTTACAAATATCTATTGCTCTATCTCTAGATAATATCAATGAATTATTTGGAACAAGTACTCCTTGATCCTCACTTTGTTCCCAATTGGATAATTTAACTTTTAAATTTCTTATTGAAGGTGATTTGTACTTGGGATGCTCTATCAAAGGTGGTAGTTGGCTTAAATATAATCCAATTATTTTAAGCACTTTGATATGATTTAGAGAATATAGATTGATTGGTAAATGGAAAATATTTAGTTTATCAGAGTTTGTTGAACTGGGATATTTAATTGTGAACTTTTTCAAATTGATTGGTAATTCTAATTTATCTTGATTGAAAATTGGAGATATGGATAATTTCTCAAGTGATGATGGTAGGACTCCATACGGAATATGGAAAAGATTCTCAGAATATATATATAGTTTACGAAGGGTATTGTGGAATGATCCAAAAATGCTCATTCTATGGAGATAATATTTGCCAATATGAAAGTGAGTCAATGATCTTGGCAATAGACCATATTCAATTAATCTATGACACGATGAGAATGTGAGTGAGGTAATAGAGTTTGGAAAAATACCAGCCTCAAATAATTGATTAAAGTAAAGTACACTAAGTTTTGTCAACGATGAAGGTAACAAATTTTGTCTAATAATTTGATTTCTCAAATTGAGTGTCTGAAGTGATTGGGGCAGCGTGTCGGGAGGGCTACATGACTCCAAGCAGTTAAGTTCTGTCAAAGTTGGAGGAAGAGAATGAACTGAGATTTGACCACCAAGTACCATAGATTTGGAAATAATTGTTGAGTGTATGAATTACTGTATATTTCATATGTTATGGACACCCCCTCCTCGAACAGGTACTATTGTGTTATCTCATACCAATTTGGGACTATGTTCTGGTTCACTTCCAAATATAGTAGTAACCTTTTATTGCAACATTTCCTTTTATAAGTATCTTTCCAAAAAAGGATTTAATTTATCCCAATCAAACAAACAGTTTTTTAGTTGAAGTAATGAACATGTCCATTATTTATGCAATGGAAATGAATGAATGTGTTCAAACATCAAACATTAAGTTGGAAGAGATATAATATTATTTATGTAGATAACTATCAATCATGTCATTAACAGAAGCAGAGAGAGCAAGAATAGTTGCAGCCAAGACGAGAGGATATTCAAAGAATTTAATATCAAAAATGTTTGATGTTTCCCGATCAACAGTGAGCAGGACTATTCAGCGACACGGAGAGCGAGGAGACTTCAAGGACCGCGTCAAATCGGGACGCCCTTCAAAGTTTTCTCGAAGACTTAGGAGGAGGATCATTAGAGCTTTGGTCAGGAAAGAGGTAATCAGTCTGGAGGAGTTGAAAGCCAAACTTGAAGAGAGATACGAAACAAACATTTCAACGGCTCAAATATCACGTATTGCCGCAAAGGAAGGCCTCACCTATCGCAGTTTAAGCAGGAAGCACGATCTAAAGCAAGACAACGCCGATCAAAGACTTGAGTTCGCATTGGCTCATCGAGACTGGACGGTTGAGCAATGGGAGGAGATAGTATTCTGTGATGAGACCACAATTGAGTCCAACTTCAAGAACTATCGTCAGTACGAGTGGGCCAGACAAGATAACAATACATTCAGCCGTGTTCATGGCATAACACAATAGTACCTGTTCGAGGAGGGGTGTCCATAACATATGAAATATACTGTATATATATATTTAACTAATAAATAAAGGGATGAATGTATGAATGTATGAATCTTATTAATGGATTTCTAATATCTATATTACAGATCTCTTTAAAAACTTTAAAAATTATATAATATATTAATATATTTTAAATGGTTGAACTCCGGACATCCTCCAAAGTCACCATATTGTCGTCAAGTGTAGATTATTTGAATTAGTTTTTCAAAGTTGACCCTGGGGGAATTCAGAATCACACTTTGGGGTTAGTGAACTCACCAACTTGGTTCATTTATTCATTCACATACACATACACATACATATACACAAACATTATTATTATTTAGTAAATAGATTTAGAAATATAGAGATAGATATATATAGAAAGACATGGCGACTAGTTGTAAAACGATTGCAAAGGATAGTAAGTCTCTTGACAAGTCGGACATCACTATCAAGTCAATCTCTCTCTGACACTCAACACAAACATAGGGATTATAAATGAAATATGTAGACAGGTCAATCCAGAGAAGAACAATGGTTGGAAGATTATGGTCGTAGATCAAGATGCATTGCGTATCATATCTGCATGCTGTCAGATGTTTGATATCACTGAGGAGAAGATCACAGGTATATACACTTAATATTAGTTTGTTTGATTGTGTTAGTCGGCACTAACATTACATTCATTCATTCATTCATTCATTCATTCAATTAGTTGTCGAGAAGCTTGAGAATCAAAGACAGAGACTACCAAATGTAGAGGCAATATACTTCCTAACACCTACGACCAAGTCGATTGATAGACTCATTGAGGACTTTAAGAAGAAGGGTTCACCACAGTATGCTGCAATCCATCTGTTCTTCACTTCAAGTGAGTCATCAACATCATCATCAACATGTATCATCTCCCTCCCTTCTAACTCTCAATCTATCAATCAATCAATCAATCAAACAAACAGAACTACCTGATTCAGAGTTTAGGAAATTGTCAACATCAAATGCAGTGCAGAGAGTCAGGACAATGAAGGAGATGAACCTTGAGTTCCTTGCTTATGAATCACAGGTGTTCCACTTTGATCAGAAACACGCTCTCAACCCTCTCTTCTCACCAGATGCTGTGAACCCAGTGGAGGAACAAGCCAAGATTGCTGTCAGAGTATGTAACACATTGATACACATGCACGACACGCAGTTGAATAGATGCTGACCTCTTGTACGACAAACAGTTGGCATCATTCTGTGTTACAATGAATGAACTACCAGTGATTAGATACTCTAGATCAAACATGGTGGCTGCTGTAGTGGCTGGTATGACTCAGGATCGTTTGAATGAGGTTGCAAAGATCAAGACCTTCCGTCCAAGCGATGACAGATCAACGTTGCTCATTCTCGACAGGTCGCAGGACCCAATCGCTCCACTGCTGCACGAGTTCACCTACCAGGCAATGGTGTGCGATCTGTTCAAGATTGAGAATGACAAGTACACCTACGACTCGGTCACCAACAATGGTGTGGTCAAGAAGGACGCGCTGCTCAATGAGTCTGACTCGTTCTGGACACATCTGCGCCACAAGCACATTGCCGACGTCAGCGACTATCTCAAGACCAGACTGGACGAGTTCCTGCAGACTAACCAGGTGTCGCAGTACTCGCAGCACAACACAGGCTCGCTGAAGGAGGCCAGCGATGTCGTCAGAAACCTGCCACAGTACCAGGAGATCATGTCCAAGTACGCACTGCACATCAACTTGGCCGAGCAGGCATCACAGCTCTTCAACGACCAAATGGCCAACATGGCCTACCTCGAGCAAGACATGGCAACTGGCGAGGACTCCAAAGGCAACACACCCAAGAACATTGTTGGAAGATTGTCCACATTCCTCAGTGATCCAGTACTTGAGTAAGTCAATGTAGTCCATGTCCATTCAATCAATCTATCGATCACACTCACTCACCTCCCATATCCTCCTCGCCTCACAACAGTAAGAATGATAAGGTTCGTCTCTTGATGCTGTATATCATCTCCCAAGAGGGAATCAAGGACGCAGACCGTCGTAAGCTGATGGACCTGGCAGGACTCAGCCTGGAGGATCAATCGTCGATCGCCAACCTCTTCTATCTGGGCGTCACCATGATGAAGGGCGCCAAGGGCAAGCAAAAGACCCAGCTCCCCAAGCAGAGGAAGCAGGACGACGGCAGTGTGCCCTACGAGGTGTCTCGTTTCGTGCCCACCATCAAGGATATCGCCGAGAGCTTGGTCAATGAGAACCTGCCGGAGGAGGACTTCCCCTACGTGATGGGCAACCCCATTGTCAAGTCCACCTCGGCACCAGTCAGCAAGGTGTCGCTAAAGGGCAGAAGCAACCAGCCACACTGGGCCGACCCCCAGGCACAGAAGGAGGAGATCAAGTATTCAGGCAGCAAGTTAATCATCTTTATGCTGGGTGGCATGTCATACTCTGAGATGAGATCCATCTATGAGATTGCTGCCTACTACAAGCGTAACATATATATTGGATCCACTGGCATGTTGGTCCCCAACGAGTATGTTGGCGATGTCAAGTCACTCAAGAAGATGAATGATAACATCGGTAACTAAGCCAGTCAGTAATCCTGGATTGGGTCAATCATGTGTGCATCCAATTCATTCAATCTAGCACGCATGAATGTCTTGACCCAATCCATCCATATCCACCCTACCCTACTCTACCCTACCCATACCTGTATTCAATAAACCTTTATAGCGAGTGCAATTGCAATCATTAGGACTCATAACAGGTAGTCAATACCATAGTTGGATAACATTACTACATTTAGTGTATGTATCCTAATCCATCATTTTGTACAAGATTGGATAATTATCCATTTCCAGACAATATTCAATCACTTCCAAAGGGTATAAATAGAGTTGGAAGGATACTCAATCATATCATTCAATCAACAATCCAATCATCAATCAATTAAACAATCAATTAATCTACTATAATACTATTATTCCACTATCCTTCGAACATTATCAACATGACTATCATTGGTAAGTACTCCATCTATCACTCACTCGCTCCCTATACACTCTCTAACATAACATTGATCCATTCATATCATTTGTGAACCAGCCAACTTGAAGAACATGGGACATCCAATGTCTGCTCTCCAACAATCATCATCGATCGTGTCCTCCTCTGGTGCTGCAACTCCATCAACAATGCAGTCCAACAATGCTCTCGCTTGTAGAAGAAGAATCAGAATCAAGGTCAACATCTTTGGTGATCGTTGTGGATGTGATGGCCTTGATGGTCTCGATGGCTGTGATGACGACTGAGGAATGACTGAGCGAGTTGTACTTGATTCACCTTACAGTGTTACAAACAAGTGAGAACATAAATAAATGATGTGTCTCACCCTGAGTGTCGTCTCCACATCTAATTCTCCACTTTTGATGAAGATTGTGTGTTGCAAAAAAGACGAAACAATCGTTTTCCAAACCATTATTACTAACTCTACACTTATAACTCAAAATACACACATAAATATTTATATACATATACAATAATGGTATGTTCTATCTATATTTTGATGTGTACTCATCATGACAACACAAGTTAGTTACTAACAATCAAATCAATCAATCACACAGGCAAGGAAACCATCGATTGCTCCAAAGAAGATCCCATTGATCAAGCATAAGGGAGAACATATGTAGGTGATCTTGCCTTGGACTGCACTCACATCTCTCTTGTTCGAACATTACAACTGACCCAAACACATCATTCACTCATTCGACTATCAATCAATCAATCTATGACGATCAATCAATACAGACAAAAGACCAACAGAGATAGACAAATAGAGAGATCGAAGCAGGTAGCAGAGTTCAACAAGAAACTAGCAGCAGTGTATGTTATGCGATCATGCACATGAATGAAGAGACAATAACAACATATAGTCAGCCAGCCAAACTAACCAATTATTAACGCGAACACTACAACAACAAACAGACCAGAGGACACATCACATCATATGTTCTTCTCATTCAATGAGGCTTTGATTCCACCATACTATGTGATCATCGATACCAACTTTATCAACTTCTCCATTTCAAACAAGATCGATATTGTACAGGGTCTGATGGACTGTCTGTACGCCAAGTGTATCCCATGCATAACAGACTGCTGCTCGGCAGAAATCGAGCGTCTTGGACCCAAATACAGAATTGCACTCAAGATATCCAAAGATCCACGCTTCCAACGTCTAACATGCATGCACAAGGGAACATACGCTGATGATTGCATCATTAACAGAATAACAATGGTAAGTTGACTAGACTACAGGCAGGCCCTTCGAAACATCAATCAATCATACTAACCTGTTGTTTGTAGCATCGTATGTACATGGTTGCCACTTGTGATGCTGATCTAAGGAGGAGAATAAGAAAGGTACCAGGTGTACCCATTATCTACTTGAAAGGAAAGAAATACACGATTGAGAGAATGCCAGATGCTCCTGGTGCTCCAAAGTAAAGCGAACGTTAATGGAATAAAACAATCATTGTTCTTTCTATTTATCTATCTATCACCAACTCCATGTGATTGATGTGATCGCCACTGTCTGGACAACAATTAGTTCTCCAACAGGTCAATGGTTCTGGTCAAGATCTTGACGGCCTTCTTGAAATCACTCAATGAAGCGTACTCATTGTCTCCATGGTAGGTCTCCTCCTTGCCAAAGCTAGGTGATTGATAGAGAGAGGTTAGTTCGTTGATCAATCACATCAACTAACCAACAAACGAATGAATGAATGAATTAATCTTACCCTGTGATCTGGAGATCGAATCCACTGTCTTGGAGATCCTTCACGAGTGGAAGGGTACCACATGTTGAGACTGGCTTCAACTCGCCAGTGACCTCGTTGGTAGCTTGAGCCAATGCCTTGTATCCTGTAGAGTCGATGTTACAAGCGACACCCGGTGATGACTCGCCAATCCACTCGAGCTCAACCTTGCCAGTGAGTCCCTCCTCGGGCAAAGAGTACTTGTGGAAGGGTCCGTGCGATGGGAGGCTGTTGATGTCAGCGTTGATATCAGCGACGTAGGACTCAACCTTCTTTCTCATTTCGTCCATGTTATAGAATGGAGTGAGACGGATGTCACCACAGATGACAGCCTCGCCTGGGATCTGATTGTACGATCCATCGATCCTCTTCCACAAAGTTGGCTTCATTGATGAGGAAACCTCATATCCATACTTGTGCTCCTCTGGATGTGGCTTGAAGTCCCTGATGATCATTCATTAGTTAGTGACTGATTGATTGATTGGTTGGGTTGTGTCGCCAGCGCTACTCACTCATAGAATCTCTTTTGGATGACGGCCAGGGCCTCGGTGACCAACTCGATAGAGTTGATGGACTTGTGTGGGAGGGCACTGTGGAAGATCTTTCCGGATGCCTTGAGGTTCCAGTTCTGAGCACCACCTGTTCCGATGGTTGGCTGCATATCAGCAGAGTCGACCCAGTACAGTGGGCCATGCTTCAAGTGATCGATCTTTCCACGCTTGTTGAGCTCATCAACACCAACGCCTGGGATCTCATCATTCTCCTCGCTGGCAATGAACACAGCATTGATAGAGTGCTTCAATGTTGGCTTGTGGGTGGCAAGCTAAAGGGTTGGTAGGGTAAGGGTAGGGTATGTTAGCCAATCGCAAGAAGGTGGTGAGGAGACGGCGGTACATCACACATACCTCGATGAAGAGGTCAGTCAACAGGGCAACGTGTCCAAGACAGTCGGTGGTACCACGACCGTAGAGACGATCGCCATCGATGGTGAGCTTGAATGGGTCGACCTTCCAGTTGTCGGCGATGGCTGGAACAACGTCGAGATGGGAGCCAACGAACGAGATGCACTTGTCAGCGACGGCGCCTGGGTATTGGATCAAGATGTTGCCACGGCCCTCGTGGTAAGCGACGTGCTCAACCTTGAGCACACCACCATTCTCGACCTTGTATGGCTCGAGAGCGGCCAACACATGACGGCCGGCATTATCCTCCACAGGGATGAGTTCGGGTGGCTGATTCTGCAGAGTCTTTGCCTCTCCAATGAGCTTGGTGAGCAATGTCAAGAATCTTGGCTCATTCAATTCGTAGTGTCCAACTGTTGATGATGACATGATTATTCGTTATGTTATGTATGTATATGTATGACTGTCTCAAACACTAATAATGAAAGGGATTGTGCATCTACATCTTTGACAAACATCCATGTTCACTCAGTTTTTCGAAAAGCCCAAAGAACATTCATAGCCTCGTTGTTGGTCACCAAAGTATCATGATTTTTTTTTTGAATCTTGATTGGTTGATTGAATCCCATAATAATAACAATACAATATATTTATTAAAATAGTTTGTTATATTTATGTATGATATATAAATACCTTTATAACTAGATAATAGTTCCGAAAGAGAGTGAGAACTTGGTTCTCAACTAACCGACTCGATTCATTGCGCGCGTTTTGGTTGAATCGTTCATTCATAACAATTATTTTTCAAACATTAATTTTCGATGACACAACACCTTGCAAAACAAGTGTGTTTGGGTGTGTTTGTAGGGTATGAGTGTGTTCAACTGTTTCGTTCACAACAAATTACATTCACTTCAACAACAACAACATCATCCATTCATACACATAGTATATCTATCTACATATACAAACACTAACTACTATTCACTTACTGCTGGCTGCCCTGCTGCTGTGTATTTATTATTCTTGTAATTAATAATCTATCTATCTATCTATATTCACTTCATTCATTCGTTCATTCAAATCAGCTTCTCAACTTGATCATTCCTATATATATATCTAACAGACAAGATAAACACAGACTCGAGCCGATTCGATCATATATACATACATTAGTATTATTACACGCGTCAACTTTATACTCAATCAATCAATCAATCAATCATGTCCAAACCATCTGGTCAAGAAGAATATGACTACTTATATAAGAGTATGTTTGAGTGTGATCAATCAATCAATCATTCATTCAATCTAACAATCAATCAATCAATCAAATTTAGTCGTACTCATTGGAGACAGTGGAGTAGGTAAGAGTAACTTGCTCTCGAGATTCACACGCAATGAGTTCAGCTTGGAGACAAAGTCGACGATTGGTGTGGAGTTTGCCACTCGCTCGATTGTCACAGAGTCAAAGACGATCAAGGCACAGATTTGGGACACGGCCGGTCAGGAGAGATATAGAGCAATCACATCGGCCTACTACCGTGGCGCCGTCGGTGCTTTGCTCGTCTATGACATTGCCAAGCAGGCCACCTACAAGAGCGTTGAGAGATGGCTTACGGAGCTCCGTGAGAATGCCGACCGCAACATCGAGATCATGCTGGTTGGAAACAAGAGCGATTTGAGACACTTGCGTGAGGTATCCACCGACGAGGCCAAGGAGTTCTCAGAGAAGCACAACCTTTTATTCATTGAAACGTCAGGTATGTTCGAGAGATGTTCGCGTTGCCGGGTCATGTGACATGCACTAACAACAACCAACAATATAGCTCTCGACTCGAGCAATGTAGACGTTGCCTTCCAAACCATTTTGACACAGATCTATCACAAGATGAACAGACGAGCTACCGTTGCAACAGTGGAGACTCACCAAGAAATATCGCACAACACCAACATCATTGATGTCTCTGCCCAGAGTGGCACAAAGAAGGAGCCTGGATGCCCGTGCTAATCAATCCATATACACACCACTTCCACAAGCTCACTTCCAACCTTCCCAACCCTCCATCCAACCTTCCTTCCTTCCTCCCAACCTTCTCCTCCATCTATTTCATTGACGCGCATTAGTGTGTCATTTGACAACGTACCGCGGGTCCCAGGTCGAGGCCTGGGCCACGAAATCACCTTGATTGATTCTCAAGGCTATTAAAATACCCATTATATTGCCCTAACATTGTTGTTGTTATTGTTGTCGTCTTGGCCAACTGACACTGGAGTCTTATCAATATTACACAGGATGTTTATTGGATGGATGGAATGGATGGATTGATTGAAGGACGACTACCATGGCCAAAGGAACATCACTCCCACTGAGAGTGTGTTTGATGCCAATGGTGACGACATGTCAAAGTCGGAGTTGGTTGGGATAGGAGATAGAGGGATAAGGATATGGATAGGGATGGGGATTGATTGTGTCATGTTGACCTATGTTGTAGTTTGTTTGTTGTTTGTTGTTTGTTGTTGTTGACATTTGTGGATGTTTAGTCGCTTTCATCGTCTGAAGCCTCTGGATCCTCTGTTGGAATCTCGGCTGGGGTCTCGGCTGTTGGTGTGGAAGTTGATGGTGCTGCCAGAGGTTTAGACACACCTCTTCTCCACAGGGTGATTTCCTGTTGCTTAAAGTATCTAGATTGAGACGAATGTATTGTTAATAAGTGGACTGATGTTGATGGGCCAAGCCAAGAGGAAACACTTACTTCTTATCGTCCTCGTCAATCAAAGCGAGGTTAAGGAAGTATTTGACAGAGAACTTGTTGTGAACGCTTCTGTAGGTTGGTGTCAGGTCAAAGACCGAGAGGAACAGTCTAACTGGGATGGACTCGCCTGTTTATACGATCGCGCATGGTTAGTTAGTCAGCTGTTTGCCATCAATGTCTCGCCTCGCCCCCGCCACGCCTCAAAGTAATAACATACCTCTGACTGGAGCACCGTCCATGATCTCGAACTTGGTCAGTGTCTCATTCTCGTTGAATATATTGGGACCGGAACCGGTCTGCTCTCGCTTGATCAGGGCGATCTCCATGTGCTTGATCTTGATACGCACGAGCAGGAAGTAGATCTTTCCGATGATGACGTCCTTGAGATGGTACTTGGACTTGTTGTACTCGAACTCGATGTGGAGACAGTCCTCAATGCCGACCTCCATCTTGATGTTGCTGTTGACATCGGGTGGCTTGTTGAAGTTGATCACCCAGATGTCAAACTCCTTCACGATGTTGGAGCCATAGTTACGACCGATGGTCAGTCGCACAAAATATCTTAGACGCACGTTGGTGCCGTTGTATGATTCGTACTGCTTCTCAACATTAAGGAAGTCGAACTGGAATGTCTTATTCTCCACCAACTCGCCAGCTGGTGCCAGCTCGCGTACCAAAGATGTGAACTCATAATGATTGCCTCTGTCATAGAACAACTCTGTATATGTATGGTATGTTTGAATGGATGATTGAATGAGTGACCTGTTTGATCGATCGATTGTATGTATGTATGAATGAATATGGATGTCTTACCAATCTGTCCAACAAACTCTACTTTGATGCCCTTGTGCTCGATCCTCTTTGACTTGTCCTTGAGGTTGATGGCCACCTTGCCAGAGACCTGCTCGTTGCCAACAAAGACGAATAGCTTCTCCATCTTGCCCTTGTCCGACGTGACCTGAATGGTCTTTCTGTTCTGACATCCATCCAGATCAAAGTCAATTGAACATGGTGTGCCGAATGTATTACTCAGGAAGTTCTACAATGTTGAGTAACATGTTGTTAGACTTGTCTTCGAATGAATGATAGAGTGAGTGAGTCAGCGAGTCTCGTCCAACATACCATGATTATGTGAATATATAATGTGATGTGATATGATGTGAGACCCTTTCTTTCTTCAAGTGTCTCTTTCTCTATGTCACTGTATGTGTGTGTGTTTCTATGTCCCTGTATCTGTAAGAATGAACTAGCCCCCTCAAATGCATGCAAGACATTAGACAGAGAATCGGTATCTCAGGAAGCAAGCCATGACACACCAAAAAAACTCGAGTCTTTAGCTGCAAAAATTTTGGAACATTGTGTGTTTCGCAGATTCATTGCTCTCAATAATAATTAATAAAAATGAGAATAATCCAGGTCCAATTCCAAAGACCTGCAAAAACTGCAAATCTACATTTGTTTTGTCCGATCTGGTCCTTGGATTATATGTTCACAAACACATATATATTTGTATACATATATCAATCAAAAAAATAATCAATGACACTCACTCATTCATTCATTCAATCAATCAATCACTCACTCACTCAATCACTCAATGATGATAGGTGTCTAATACTGGATTAAACCCTTATGTTAGGCCTTGTATGAATGTGTTGTCAACGATAATAATGTTGGTAAACACATCAACAAAGTCCTTTCGTTGGGAGAATAGAATGTACAGGGCCTTGTACATTGGGCGATTTATTATTAGTTAACATTGAGTCCAAATAGCACCCTGACCATTTAGTTGAAAGGATGGTCCTCACTATATCAGGTATGTATAGTATGGTATGATATGATATGGTATGGAATGGAAGTTGCTTGTGCTTGTTTGTTTGTTCACAAGTAGTAGTTAAGGGCTCGGTATACCCTAGTTCGTGCTCCCATAGATCACCCATGGAGGGCTCGCACTCCCCACACATATGTATATCAATCAATCCAACCACACACACCACTGATCACATGTAATGAACATGATATACGAAAGGGGAGTTAGTGATTGAGGGTGTGTGGTGCGTGTGTACCAACTCAAGTGAGAGTGCCCTTTCGATGGATTGTGTGTCGTAACTGACTGAAGAATGACCCCCAAGAAGCATACTTACTTAGTGCTGGTACTTATGAACAAATAACAAGATGTATGGCCTTGGATAGAGGTACGCGAGTATGTGGTGGTGGAGAGATGGAATCAAATAATACAACTAACAAACAAACAAACATGGATGGATGGATGTTGTTGGATACACATATGTTGTTGATGTTTTGGCATTGATGACAATAGCATCAAACACATGATGTGCTGTTGGTATTGGTATGATGAGCTACCTTCCATCAACAACAAGGTCACCAACCAACAACCAACTACTCATACTACTACGGCTATTACTACTCACCATTGATTGAGTGCTTGTGCAAGGTCGTCGAGGAGTGAGGCAACTGGTGGTGATGGGCAGGTAGGCCAACCCGACTATCCAACCGGCCATGCCTGCCAACATGCCTGCACATACCATGTAAGAAACAAATATTGGTAGGTAGGTTAGTAGGCGTCCATGGCATTGATCGATGGATGAGTTACAATCACTATCTCTATCCTAAACACACACACAGACACAATTAATAATAATATTATTTTTAAACAATCAATATTCCTACCTTCCACATCCTCACTCCTTGATCATTTCAAATTGTTCACCAGTCTGTCTGTTGTTGTCTGACAGTTCATCATCAATCTTCATCTAACAATCAATCAAACTGACTTGTCCAAGTCCACAATAATAATAATAATAATAATAATAGTAATATATAAATAGAATTAATAATAATGTCACTCAATCAAGAAGAAAATTGTTATTGTGATCCAACAATACCATCTATAGGTTGTAATAGAGTAGGATGTTTATCAATTGCAATAGTATTCTTAATATTATTCTTGGTACCATTTGGAGTTTGTGTATATCGCATTGGATACAGCTTCAAGACCAAAGCAAAGAATAATTGGTCTTTAATATCACATATATTTATAATGGTCACATGTTTCTGTAAGATCTATTCTATAACCATCCATGGTCATTAATCAATCAATCAATTCTAACATCATCCAACAACAACAGGTAGGATAGTGCGTTCTGCATTACAGATAAAGGAGAATGATAATGCGGTGTTGATGGCATTGTTATATATTGTACCAATATGTTTATTGATAGCATCGTATTTGAATACTTTATACGTTTGGATCAAGATCATATATCATATCAACTTCTCAAAGATTGTCGCCAGAATATTTCCAGCAATGGGATGGTTCCTTATATGTTACCAAGTAGTCCTATTCGTCCTATTCTTAATTGGATGTATAGTATATTGGGCACCAATCGCTACCAATATTGTATTCCTAATATATCTAGTCAGTGGAGCGTATGTATATCTCATCACTCACATTTTTGATCAATCAAGTTAACATCATTGGAACTATTCCCCCCCCCCCCCCCCCATCACAGTGTCSGRATTCCAGTCTTTGGAAAGATGATTTGGAATGAGTATA